GGAGGCGAAAGGAGGGGTTGCGCTCGATCGTTAAACGGCACCGACTGCCTCCCCCCCCCCCCTTCCGCGCCCAAGCCACCCATTCATAAAGTTGCATCCTCTAATTCTTAGCATTTCGTTCAATGCTACCACGCGCGAATGTAGGATAGGTATTTTGAAATGATACGAGCAATATTCTTTTTCCTTTTGAATTCCGCATTCAATTTCATTTGCATTCACCTACACAAGATAAAATACATAAAGATAAGATAAAAAAGATAACAATCGCAGCAGATTAGATAGTCTAACGGGAAACAGTGTAACAGTAATGAGTCATGATTACACTTGGACTAAAACATTTTTGGGATTATTATTCTTGGAAATCTTGGAATTTTATCAGGAAAATACATTTTGACATTGAACCTTAAATTTTATTAATATACGTGATCTTTTTTTCAGATCTCGTTATACACAAAATAGAATTACAAGAATTTTATATTACGATCAATAATAAGACTGATGTAGATTTTACTAGTGATCCTGCGTGCATAATTCATTCGTGCTATGTCATGATAACCATAAAGATTTCATTGATGATAACCAATTAAAGATTTCATTGATGATCGACGGTTTATGACGTATTCATCCGAGAGGATTGACCGCGGGCGCATTTCTGCGTGGCTGAAACGCAACACCTGTTCCTCGGGATGAAACCTTGCCCGATCGACCCTGACTGACGGCTGAAGGTCATCGTCGTCGTCCTCATCGTCGTTGTCGTCGTCGTCGTCGTCGTCGTCGCCGTCGCCGCCGCCACCGCCGCCGCCGCCGTCGCCGTCGAGGGGGTTGTGAGATGCCGCAGTGCTCTCGTGAGCGAGCAAATAAAAGGCCGTTCGGCATTGAACGGGCGCTTCCATTCATGGTTTCCGGGCGCAGGCGCATCGTGAAGGAACCGCATGGTGCTGACCGGGGTAGGGGTTTCGCGAGGAGTCGCCTACGCAGAGACCCCGGCATCGCTATGCGTGGGCGACGTGGGTGATTCAGAGGTAGCGCGAGCCGGAGTAAGGGCGGACGTTCTGTTCCTCGCGCGCCGGCTCGGCTCGGCTCGGCTCGCGACCCCCGGCTCTCGAGGGAGGGTGACACGCGCTCCTGGAAGAAAGAAACGCGAGTGCTCGCATTTTTAAAGGGAGTCGGAGTCCACGCGGGAGTGCGATCCCCTGATCCGCGTGGTGTGCCAGCCTCTACCCTCTTCCGGCTCTTCCGGCTGTTTCTGACGAGCGATGGCCCGCGTTCGCCGACACGACGAGTGAGTTCGAGGCTCTTCTCTTCGGGGCGCTGCTCCCGGGCGAACCACCACCTGGGATTCTCGTGCCAAAAATACGCGCGCGGGAATCGCCGTCCCGGGTGCCGTACCGGTTTTCGAGAACGCGCGCGGAAGACTCGCGGAACTCTACGGTACACGCTCTCGTCCTGACGATTCTGTTCTCGAATCTTTTCTCCCTCTTTTTCGAAATATATCCGCATGTTACAATTGGGAAACGATGGAAGTGAAAAAATTCAATGGGTCCTCCGTGTCTTCGATAATAATCTTCGTAAAAGATTACGCGGCTTTTGTTCCGTAATCCGCCTTCGATAACGTATTTCGTATCACGTTACTCTCGCAGCTTATATTTTATTCATTAAACATTACGTCAGCGGGCCTTTTATTCATCGAACATTGTGTTACTTGGCCTACTCACTTCCCGGTTTATTAAATTAAATTATCTTAATTCGTGGCGTCCTTTGAAAATAATTATTTTGTATTAATTTTTCATAATTAACAATCGGTTTACGTAAAAATTCTCCGACATACGCAGAGATCGTATTAACGTCGTGAAATTGTAAATACATGACGAGAATCGAAAAACTTTGATCTTAACTGCTCGGATCGAATAGGTTTAAAGCATTAGTCTCATTGTTAAGTAGTCGAGCCCAAGCATTTAACAGACAAAGCCACGTATGTTATCCCCCAGTTAAGAAGCATATCTGCGACCCGTCCCACGAGTTCGCAGCTTTCATTCTCCCGCATACTGCACGGAGGCATGCAGAGATTCTACCCCTCTGTAAGCGATACGAGAGGCCAATTGTACTGCGTCAGTGTCCAGTCATCGAAGGCATTAATTTTGGAAAAGTACGCGAACATCGATATTCCGGAGAACATGCTCGCCGCACGCCAGTTCGACTGCTTCGCGGAGGAGCGCTCGTACGAGAGGTGAGATTTCAGATGCAGCTTCATTTATCTCGTCCGTTCATTTATTTATCGTTAACCCCCCCCCTCCCCCTTCGTTCCACCTTACTACGTGGATTTTGCGAGATTTCGTCATCCCGCTTCCAGTCGCGTTTACTCCCCCGCGATCACGTCCTCGTAAGCGATTCTCCGCTTCGCGATCTCGTAGTCGCGAAATATCTCCCCGGTGCGGCATTGAAACCCGAACGAGAGTGAAAGTGGCAGGCGACGTCATTCAGCGCCCACCAATGAAAACGAAACCGGGAGACTTCGACCGTTCTTATCAAAAATTATTATCTTATCAAACTAGACGTTTAGATATTAGGGAGATGTCGAATATTAGTCCGAAAGAGACTTGTAATTTGAAGTTCTAGAGAAACGGGTTTTTTCTTTTGTCAGGTTAGCATGGCCGAGAATTTTCCATCTTTTTCAACCCTTCACGCACGTGTAGTCTCTCGGACTTCTGTTACTTATTTTTTTATTGTCGGCTAAGCGTTCTTTTTTTTTTTAGAAAAATAAATAAAACTTGATTTTATGTATGTACAACACCGAAGGATGCAACAGCAAGTGCATACACAGGATGGAGAGAGATTATTTTTATTTCTTTTTTTATTAGCACTCAAACTTAGCTTGTGATGTTTGTAGTTAAAGATTAATTAAAAGTTTATAATTAAGGGTGAATTTTTACATAGAAAGAAATGGGGTTTGCGAAAAGTCTCCCGGTGGTATCTTTTATGTTGTTTTCGCTCCGCAAAAATGTACAAAAATTCTGAGAGACGGGCACAAAATCGATACGCGAACGGGACAAAGGGACTTTGATACGAGCGAAATTTGATCAAACCGTGTCGGTACACGATAGACAGCACTTGTTGTACATTTTGGGTAAATACTGTTGGATCACGCATGCCCGCACACTCGCAAAGCGACGTAATCTGCCATTGTGCGCAAACACACGTTCGCACAGATGACACGCAACACAGACAGATACCGGCCATTTTACTTTCTCCTCCTTCTTGACCCTCGAGAGGAAAAATCTGACCTTGGTCGCCATGGCGATTTCAAGGATATCACCCTCCGTATGCGATGGAGCATTCTGGATTAGATGTAAGATGCTTCAGTATGCCGTTTCCGCTCAGAAAAATAATAATAATAATAATAATGGTAATAATAATAGTAAAAATAAATTAAAAATAATATAAAGATTAGTAATTTTGTTATTTTTGTAAGTAACTTGATATGCGACAATGAATACATATTTATAAAAAATCGAAAATTATAATGCGTATTCAAACAAAATCATTCGGTAAATGCTTTTGCATCAATCATGTGAATATTACAAAATTGCAATTAAAATAATTAAATTGACATCAATTATAATTATTTTAATTTCCTTTACTTTTAGTTTGATATTAGTTTGATGATGATGAATAAAATCGTGCAAACAAAGTTTAAGTAGGATTATAAAAAAATGAACGGATATTTATACATTTTGCATAATTTAACGAAGAATTTTTAAAGAGAAGGAGAGAAAAATTCTCTAAAATGAGATATTAATATATCTCTATATTCTGAATTTGAATTTTTTACTGTAATGAGTTTTAATTATTCTTTACTTTGAGTTAGTAGAATTATCAAATTGATTATAATTATATTCGAATGCATAATATTTGGAAAAATATCTCTCAAAAGTATAAAATATAAAATATAAAAGTTATTCCACTGTTGATTAAATTAATATTTATTAAATTAATATTTTATACGATTTCTACGTATTTATTATTTTATACATTTTCGGTCAAACATTCTATATAATATCCAATTTAATCGTTCCTGAAGTGATTGAAATCTATTGCAAAAAAACCGATATTCTATGTACACGTTGAAGTGTACTAATGCTTTAAAACATTTATCTTTACACTTTCTACTAATTTTAAAATTTTAATCCTTTTAGCTACTGCTGTTTTATTATTTGTTTTGAATAATTTTAATGTGATCGCTTTTTCGCAATATCAAGAGAATATCAACGAGAGCAATTTAATCTTGGTTCTAATATTTATATCTAGTTTTAGCAAAGCAAGAGAACGACATAATTTTAGGATTAATCTAGAACATCATACAGTAAATACGGACTTGCTGCTTATTATATTTATTATATGAAAACCGAGCAAACTTTTACATGGCCTGGCAAAATTAAATATTATTTATGTTATTATATATTCAAAATGTTAATATGAAAATGTATTTAAAATAATGTCTCTGTCTAATAATCGATATATATATATATATATATATATATATATATATATATATATCTGATTTTTAAGGTATACTATTTGTATACCATTAAATTTGCTTACAAGATAGAGCGGATCAAAAACAGAAAGACCTTTTTACTATTTTGCGATTTTTATAATTAATAACGAGTTAGCGATGTACTATTAGGAATCAGACACCTTGTATGTAAATATTTAATATAAAGCTGATACAATATATTTTATTTATAATATTGCAATAATGAAGTAATTAAATAATAAATTTTGCAAAAAGCTGTAAATCAATTATTAAAATATTCTAATGTACTATTATCTATATCTGGTAAGAGAAAATCAAATAAATTTTTAAGATAGATGGAGAGTAAAAAAGTAATAATAAATTATGCAAAAAGTTCAGCTAAAAAGAACAGGTTTTATTTTAATAATACTTCTAATAGCACAGTCATGCTGTTTTTCTTAGCAGGAAGTATAATTTATAAACTTGTTATATATGTGATTTATATTTTTGATCCTCCTAAATTCAAAGTTTTCAAATAGTTTAGATTCGAATCATAAAAATTCAAATACGAATCGAATAAGAGATGAATAGAGATTCGATTCGATTTGATTTACGTTTGAATAGTTTGCACATTTCTGTAGTTAGAAGACACACTGTATGATATTTGAATATTATATGAAATGACCTCGCCGCAATCACAAGACAAATCCTTGTCAACAATACAAGACTGATCAATTTAGTTCGGTGCGAACAAGAGACCGTGGTGGTTCAATAAACTTCGTTACGAAGGCTCGTTTCAGGAGAAAGATAGGCAAGTCGAAATATATTGATAAGAATGGCGTAATAAAAATTACAGTGAAACGTTTGAGCAAAATTGTCAATTGTCAATTTATCAATTTTTACACATTTATCGATTTCGAGATTTTTGAATAATATCTAATAATAAAGATTTGTTTCGCAATTGTGACAAAGAGTCATTTCTTATAATGTTTGAATTATATATCTTACATATATCTTCTTTCTTATATATCTTCTTTTACATCCTCTAACGCATTATTTCTTTTCAATGATAAAGTTCAAGGTATAAATGTCTTAGTACAAAAAACATTAAAAGAAATTAGCTATCATTTATCGCAAGTAGTTTTTAACGTTATATATTTCTCAAACTTGTTCAAAAATTCCAGTTAACAAAACAAAGTCGTCATCGTTATCAGTTTGTCTCTATGAATACATAAATAAATACAAGTGTATCTATGAACGTGATAAAGAAAATACTACGATATGGAAATGCGTTTTTAGATATCGAATAAGATATATCGTTTAGCAAGCAGATTGATTTTATTCGAGGTTAAAACCGTTATAATTTTGAAAAACAAAGTCTTATTATATGTATGAAAATATCTGTCTTGCGAAGATCATTACGTTTTTTTTTTTTTCATTACCAATAAGTGTAAAGGTCGTTGTAAAATCTATATATACTTTTCTATTGCTCCTTATTAAAATATTAATAATAAAGTGAAAATAATAAGAAAAAGTTTAAAATAATCTTTGAAAGAATTAAATTTTCTTTAGAGAGTTATAAATTAAATTTTATTTTGGTATCTAAAAAATATTAACATAGTTTATTAAATTTTAGATGCAAAGCTTAATAAATATAGAATACAAAATTTATCTTCCTCTTGAGAACTAAATCTTAAAGTGGATTTTCTAAGCAAACTGAGAGTATAATGAGATAAATCTAATTATCTCATGGATTTTCTGAGCGATTAGATTACAGTTAGTAATAACAATACGCTGATAGGTTTCAAAAGATACGGTTATCGAAACGGCAGTATTTTAACAACTTTTCATATTTTGCTCTAGGAAAACAAGATTTTTCAATAGTGCAACCCAGAAAACTTCCTTGGATCTTTATCAACACTTTCTGCCCGCCACGATGAATCAACTAAAATCTCCTCGCAACAGAATAGATTGCAACCGTCATCCTATGCAAGTAAGTAATTCAAAAGCAATTTATAGACTTATATTTAAATCATATCATCGTTATGTTAATTAACAAAAATGTTTTTCTAACATATTCGTAGCACAACATTTTTATTATTACGAAAAAGTTGTTCATTCAAATTCCTTTGATAGTTTTCAGCTGACAGTAGGATTGAAATGTGAAAGTTCAATAAAGTTTACAACCCATTTTTCATTTACTTCCACGCATTATTTTCCATAATAATAAATTTTATATTTCTCTGAAATAAATTACGTAAGTTTAACCTTCGTTTCAATAGGTTTTAGATTAATGTTTTGCTAATTGCTTGAAAGAGAGGAAGTTTTACATTAAAATGAATGTTGAGCATTTAATGTAAAACTTATTATTCATGAATCACATTTATATTTACATTTGCATATGCTAATATATAACTATATAGTATAAATGATGCGATAAAAAAGGATCTATCCATTTGATTATTCAGCTATGTATCACAAAATTAAAGTGGGTGAACTCAATTGGTTAGCTGCCTAGAGGATCTATTTTGTAAGATAGCGGCAAATCACAGATTCGTGATGATTCGCGTTTATTGATTTCGTTAAAAAAACCATCTCGCTAACGAATCGACGTGGAAAACAATGAACTCGATGAATCTACTCTTTCATACTATTTATGAGTTTTATACAGAATAGCGAATTGCGAATCGCATTCGCGTCCGACACTAAATTAACGTGCAGCGATCGATATCAAGGAAATCACTATGAGGAATGAAATTACGAGATCGATAGATCGAAGATAATAGTAGAAAATAATAGCAAAGAAAATAATATTGTCCTATAATAATAGTAATAATATAAATTTCATTCTTGACACACGTTAAAATTTCTTAACTCATTCAATTTCCAATCAATTTCCAATCTCATAGTTTCGTTTTTAATATGAAAGTTATAAAGGGATGTTCGAAAGAATAGGAAAGTATAGGAAACACATGAGTGTTACCGAATGTCGTCGATGTGTAGACAAAACTATGACGAAGTTAACAACCGATAAGCATTTCAATAATCACTGCCATACGAAAATATTGTATAGTCATATATATATTGTAGAATTTCAATAGCAATTTTAATAGTAATAAATATCGGCAGCCAAGATCATTTTTTTAAACTCTTATCTATATTAAATTTACATTATTATGTGATTAACATACATTAAATACGCATGTTAATGCACAGCAATTAAAAGTAATTTTTAAGGCTCCTAATTAGGCTCAGCTAAAAACTTCGCGTTGACAATCGCGGAAATTAGAAATTAGAAGCTTATTTATTTTTCTTCGTCTTATCCTTATTCTTGTTTATCTTCATATTAAATGACGTACAACAATGAAATTTTTTATTGTACTTAACTTCGTTATTATGTGCTTAATCATACAGATGTGGCTTGTCTCGTACTTAATTTGTATAAATTCGTAAAAATGGGCGGTAGCTAGTTACCTTTGAATTTTATATGTAAAAGCATATTTTTCATTTCTTTCAATAGCTGTTAAATCGCGTTTTTCTCTTTGAATAGACTTCATTTCACATGCCTTTTACAGTTATTTATCTAGACTATCAGACTATCAGCCGTCTATTTTCACATCTTGAAGCTGATCTTAAAGCCATTTCAAGTGTCATTTTAGTTAATAAATATCTCTTTATTTGCAAATTACGTGCATCTCGCTTATAATACGTCACGATTCTAATAAGCCGCGGCGACTTTCGGAGTGAGGGCTTTAATTAAGATTATAGCATTTAAATAACAAATATATCGAATTTTTATGCGGAATAAACAGAACAAGAATTTATTTCAGCTCACAAATAAACCTCGCAAGCAGGATGATCAGCATTTTACGCCAAAAAAGTTTAATGTCCCCAAAAAGATCCGATCGTTTCAAAACACCAGTCCAGACCGTTTTGTGAAGCAGTTTCCTTCAGGAAAATTATCGCAGCATTCCAAGGATAGTTCGCTAGGTCGTTCGATTCTCAATCATGTGGATTCCTTAAACGAATATCCAAAGCTGTACAATCAGAATGCCATGATCGCCAGTTCACTGAGCTGTTCGAGTGAGAGTCGCTCGAGCTCCTCGGACGATAATCTGACAAATCATTCGCCAGTTCATCAGTTGGACAGCAGTTCGCCCGACCATTTCGAATATTTTCGAATGTTCGAAGATGCTAGTGTCACAGATGCGCCTGGCCCGAGCTTCTCGGGCATCAGTTGCCAAAACGAGAGCTGCCAGTCGAACTACGAAACTACGTACGAAGATCTCAATATGAATCTTCTGAAGATCGATTTGCTGGACTCGAATGACATCTGCTCCAGGCGACAATCACCCGTGTGCGAGGAACGTAGCTCGAGCGCTCAGGAAGATGCGCATGACGAATCTTTAATAACACTGTTAACAAAACATCTGGACATATCGAAGGAAAGGGAGGAAAGCGAGATTACTGAGCAGCGAACTCGCAGTCCAAGCGTTCAAAGAGACGCATCCGATTCGCCACTGATATCGGAAAAGTTGGAAATACTCGGGGAGAATGAAGTAAAGAAGGAAAATTATTCGGGGCATCAGTCACCTGTCACCGTGCCAGGCGAGCAATGGAACGATGACGGAACACTTATAGAGTTAAACGTGGAGCAGGATTTAACCAACGCGTCGTCGGATGTAGGAGAAGAAAAGCTGACGGAGGAAATACAGGACCTCCAATCGTTTGATTACATGCAGAAAGAAAAGATGCTGTCCTATCAATGCAACGATCATCCGAATACTCAATTGTTCTATTGCCAGACTTGTTGCAAAACGATTTGCAGAGAATGCTCCACTAATTGCGTCTACAAACACGTGACAGTGGAACTTTTAGAATTCCTCGATAACGCCCAACGTCAAGCCGAAGAGGTGCTGATCGAGGCCTACCTCGGCATCGATGTTCTTGCGGATGATATGGAAAATATGGGCGTAAGTTAATTAATTGTTCGATTAACGTGAAAGCAATTATTTTCAGGTTATTTTTCTCTCAAATTACAGATCTTTACAATCTTTATACTGAAATACGCACGAATTTTCTTGGCATTCTTTTTATGTAGACTAAAGTTTTAAAAACAGATAAAAATTCGAGAGAAATTATTTTTGGTTTCTTTTTCTAATAGGAGTCAATTTTGACATAAATATACTCGGCATGAATATTATAATAAATAACAAAATATAATAAGTGGCATTATTCAGAATTTTAGACGCCTTATAATTTTTCTTTTAAATTTATATTTTATAAATGAATATATATATTAAATATATATATATATATATATATTTATAATATAAATAATATATATATATATATATATTTATTTATTTATATTATAATATAAATTAAAAATACTTATCTAAAAAAAAGAAAGAAAGAAAAAGTTTATTCTATGCTTTTTGCAGTTGGATATTGCAGCGCTAGATCAAAGAACCAGAGAAGCGCTTACCGATGTAAAGTTCTTTTCACGTCGAATGTGGTCGGCAGTAGAAGAGAGAGAGAAGAAATTGTTTAAACAAATTGTGGAGACTCGGCGATGGAAGTATGAGGTACTTCAAGAGAGATACATAAATTTAAAAGAGGACAAGTCACGACTGTCATTAGCTGTCAGTGCTCTCAAATGCGCTATCCACGACGCACGCTCATCTTCTATGTGTAATCCTGATGAACTTTTGCAAAGGAAAGATATGGTATTAGCTGAGGTAATTTATTTAATAAAATATAAATATTAAAAAGATATATTTAAATATTAATACAATTTATAAGGCAAATAGTAATGTTTTGGAAAATGTGTTTTTGTTTCGTAAATAAATGAATATCATTATAATCTGCTAAAGCGGCAAAAATTGAGCAAAATATGTGAAATATGTAAAAAGGGGAAGTTGAAATGTATAAAAAAAACAATCTATTTTTTTCTTAAAAGATGTAAGAAAATTTATATCTTTATCATTTTCAAATTCACTTTTCCTTTGATATTTTAATTAAAAGGAAAGATGATTTATGAAGAAATTTTTTTAAATTTTAGATTTGGCAAATACGTCAGAGTCGAAAGACAAAGACCCGAGCTATCCGAGACGAGAATTGGATCTCGTTCAAGAGTTCCGATAATAACGTGCTGTCCGTAATCGCTAATGGAGGAAACGTTTTGGTGAACGGTCCGGGCACGATCGGGGATCGTCTACCGAATCGCGATTACAAATCATCGCAATTGTACTTCCCTTACGGAATGAATGAGCAGATGATGCAACCGATTCCGCGCGGTCGTCCGATAACCGATTACGACCACAACATCTGCCTCCCTAATCGAAAGCACGAGTTGCAAGTCAAGAGCACGGAGGTCATAATTCTGGGTTACTTCGGCGAGAATAATCCCGACAATCTCTGCCGCCCGTGGGGATTGACTTGCGACAATGAAGGTAACATCATCATCAGCGACAGATCCAATAATCGTATACAGGTCTATCGTGAGGACGGTACGCTGATCAGGAAATTCGGGAGCTACGGTAGCGGTCCTTGTCAATTCAATCGTCCAGCCGGAATCGCCGTGGATGCTAGACGTCGTCTTATCGTGGTCGATAAAGATAACCATCGCGTTCAGGTTGGTGACACATTGCGTATTTACAATACAATAATATACAGTTCAGTTCCGATTATGTGTATTAGCGGAGCGCAAAGTGCGCTGACACGGACGCGATTGATCCCAATTTCACACAGTTGAATTTGCCGACCGGACACTATACAATATGGAATCATCGTGTTTCAGATTTTAACTCTGGAGGGCGAATTTCTAAGGTCCTTCGGCGAGCACGGCGAGAAGCAGGGTCAGTTTTGTTACCCGTGGGACGTCGCGGTAAATTCAGCTTGCGAGATCGCGGTTACGGACACGAGGAATCATCGTGTCCAGTTATTCAGCGCCGAGGGTATTCCCCTACGCATGTTCGGCGGCCAGCCACATCTGCTGAGGTATCTGGACTCGCCGCGCGGTATCTGCTTCAACAACGAGGGCAAGCTGATCGTTACGGACTTCAACAATCACCACGTATTGATAATTGAGTATAACATGACGGAGATGCGCATTCTTAAATGTGAGAAAGAGTCAAAAGGCAAGAGGCAGGACGGGGAAACCGGTGACGGGCAGAACGAGGAGAACATGCCCACGTTTCAGCGGCCTCAGGGCGTCATAGCGGCCGACGATGGCAGTATTCTCGTCGCGGATTCCCGTCACAATTCAATCAAAGCGTACAACTCGGTCGGCTCGTTAATTTATTCGTATAAGCCTGGTCAGGATGAAATGGACCGTCCACTGGGTATAGCCCTTCACTGGGACGGTAGAATGACGTTCACGGATTACGGCCGCAATTACGTGCGCTTGGTAAGGCTGGAGCATCAAGTGGCCCCGGTGCCAAGGAACGCCATCATGTTCGGTTGACACTCTAGGACCGCAGACGCGTTATCTTGATGATTTAATGGAAACTTTAGTGATGGCGATGGTTTTCATTTCTGTCAAGGGTGAGCAGCGAAACTCGCGGTCGCCACGAGCAATCTATCGCAATTTTTACAAACGCATGGCGGGATCATCTCTAAGTCATTGGTGAATTGCGCCAGGAGATACTTTCCGCTAGAAACGAGACAAGAGAATTTTATCTTGTAATGAAAAAAAAATAACAATTGACAACGTATGAAGGATGAAGAATTAAATGTTTTGCGCGCACGACGTCGCTTTATACACGTTTCGAGTTTCACATACACATCGTATATACGTCATATATACGTATTTCCTATTCTGAGATAAAAGTTCAAAGATAAATTTCTGAGATGAGAGATTACTTTATATTTATTTCCACATTTTTTTCACCTCGTGTATGTGAAATTACTATGAAAATGTCGTCTGCGGCAATGGGATCTTTATATTGGCCATTCATTGTGGCTTTTAAAGAAAGAGGACATAATGTACTTTATTATTTTAATAGATTGTGTTTCATCAATCGAGTCCTTTTTAAAAGTAAAAGTTCGCGCAATCTTTAGGCTCCTATACATATTTCCAAGCAAGCAAGGGAGATATACATTTGACCATTTACACTGAAAAAGGACTCGATTAATGAAACGCAATGTACATCTATAATATTTATCGCACGTATGCGTGAAATTATGTTCAGCTTTTATTTTTCATCTGATGAACTATTAATTTTTTTATATATTTCATCTATCTTTTATGTATTATTTGTATTTGTGTTATATATTTTTATAATTTTATTGCAATGCATTGTACCTCGTGGTTGGATGGACACATAAAATGCGCATACAGCTCAGGTATATTTTTAGATCTTTATTCTCAATTACGAATTGAGCGGAAATATATTTTGGATCAAACCTGAGAAGAAAACTGTGTGCTGAATATTTTGAATGATCAATTGATCGACAATGATAATTAACGATAATTAATCGACAATGCATTGTCAAGGAAAGTTAATGACGAAGGAAATTAATAAGATATCGAGAAATCCGGATAAAATCACATTTTATTAGTGTATCTTAGTCATTATTTTAAAAAATTCGATTGTTTGTCGAATTGTGATAGATATATTTTTCCTTTTTTTATATATTATTTTATATGACTAATGAGTTTTCTCTATTTACAACGTTAAATTATGAATATAATTAAAATCCAATTTATTTTGCAGATTTGCAAGAGAATAATTTTGCGAAATTGGATTGTTAAACGATACAATTGGTAGTGTCATGCATGATTATATGTAGAAAATAATAATAGAGAAATTTTGCTTTTTATCGTTATTATGTTGCTCTTCCCTCATTAATCGCAAGCTCTCCGTTTTCGTGAAGATCTCTAAAGTCTCTTCGCAAAGCTTTCTCCGAACTGAAACTACTTCCATAAATTTGAAATGTCATTTTTTTCCTACAAATGTCTGTAGAAATCCGTGAAAAAGAAAGAAGAAAGAAATAACATTTCAAATTATGAAGATCCCAATCTGAGGAAACCTTCTCAGGCTCAAGAGATCTTTATAGAGGCTTTGCAAGTGTTGTTAATTAATTAATTAATGTGATTAATGAGGAAAGTACTAACAGTAGTAACAGCAAGAAGCAAAATTTCTTATAATTTTTTTCTAAATGCAATCATGCATGGATACCGCTAATTGTTTGGCTTATCAATCTAATTTTGAAAAAAAAAGTAGAAATTGCGATAGGTTGTAGTTTTATACTTTAATTTTGTATTATTTTTTTAATTTTCTAATAAAATGTATCATAATTGAATATTTTATTTATTTTTTTTACAATATTTGAGAGTCTTGAATATTTGAATTTACGATATTTGAATTTCTGGGATATGTAAAATGCAGGGTATATTATTGATATAATTAGGTAGAGAATTTTTCACGTTTATTAAATATTTATTATATATTTATCAAATTCTTATAAGCAATATTTATTAAATCAAGCTCTTTTAATATTGATTAGGTTTATTAAATTTTAATAACACGGAAAATTTTTTATTAATGTTGAATTTAATCGCATTTTTTCAATATTTTCGTTTTTAATATAATAGAATAAAATAGAAATATAGAGAATTATTTGTATATGACTAGTTAGAGGATTATATCAGTTTAGTCTTTTTTTCAATTTTAATATATTTTATACAGTAATTTTTATTATTTGACATTCTCATATTTTATATCTAATAGATTTATTGATTTAATAAATGAAATAAACAAGGAAGAATATTGAACGAAGAATCATCATAGACAACGAGATATTTTGAATTGTAAAATGTCATGAGGAAATATAGAAAGAAATGAAAAATTGGAAAGTAAAGGAGAAATATCCATCCAGAAGAAATTAATCTTTTATTTTCCAAATTTGTGGAGCGTTATTTTTCCCTCAGAAAAAAAGAAAGATAAGGAAGGCAACTTATATTATATAAATTACTTAAGAATTAGCCATTGTTAAGGTAACTACCTAATAATGTTAGACATTAATGTCACTTAATGTCGTTATTATGGTTGAAAAGATCAGTACAAAATGTATGCATGCGTGTAAGAGAGAGAGAGAGAGAGAGAGAGAGAGAGAGAGAGAGAGAGAGAGAGAGAGAGAGAGAGAGAGAGAGAAGAGAGAGAGAGGGATCGTTAAAAATTGCATTGAGAGAAAGGCGGCAGGACGCTGATTGTTCGCGATTGTTTAAAAATCCGATTGAAATGGAATTGATGTATATGCATCTTTTAAGCGCCGTAGACACGGCGCATATTTACGAATTATACGATGTATATATCATACGAATGGTCCATCGACTCTCTCGGATCCGTTGCAAATTTTCACTATATTCATTGGGCATCTTCCATATATGAATATCTCGGAACTAGAACAATCAATAAATATCTATTGTATTTCTTAAGAATAATAATAATAATAATAATAATAATAATAATAATAACATATTTCTTCCGTCTCTAAACCGCGGGATGACGTTGATCGTTCCAGTTCCCTGAAAAGAATATCCCGTGTATTAATCTTTCTCTTGAGCTATTCGATTCAAAGTAACGACGTAGCACATTTAGTAGAGGAAAAATATTTTTAACGAAAAAAAGAGAGAAGACTACCCGATGGAAGATGCGCCGCGTGAACGTATGAAAGCACTTTTCTACGAATGTCTCATGTGTGGAGAAATAATTGGTATACTTGCTCGCATACCTCATAAAGTGGCGATGTTTGCAAAGTGGCCAGGGAAAATTATCTCGTGGCACGTGTACATTAACGTGTTAGCAATCAATGCTCATTCATGCGGCAACGCCAACTTTCGGCTGTGTCAAACACATAAAGAAGTCGTAATACGAGTTCACCACTTTATGATATATCTGCGTCACAAGCGAGAATCTGCGCCGGTATTTTTCTAGATGAAATAAAGGCGCGTGAATCTTTTTTTCGCGAGAGGATCCGGAAGGGATCGTGCGACTTTCTTTAAAAAAAAAAAAAAAATCTTTCATAAGTGTATGACTAGGGAGAAACTTTCTACGTATACTAGATGACATTCTGTATGTTTTATGTTTACTACGCGGAGTGTTCAATAGGAATCGACTTCTTTCTAGATTGCGTCTGTGATCTGTGGGATTACAGGCGAGGGGGATGAGTCTTCGTTCCCTCTTCCTATCGCGCCTCATTCCAAAATAGTGAAATTCACACTCACACTCGCGTAAACATCACTTTGCGTCGAATCAAATTTGAAAATAAAAATTTACTTAATAATGGCGAAGAACGCCAGTAGTTCTCAACGTGGACGTTGGCGTTTGGACACTCCTTTGGAAGTTTCAAACATCAGATGATTTCGGATAAATGTAGGAAAAGCGAGTGTCAAAAATTCAAACATTAATCCAATTTTTTAGTGTTCAGTAGCGGAGAAATGTTAGAAATATTATTATAAGTCAAAAAGGCGTCAGCCCGAAAAAGATTGGGAACCACTGAATTACACGATCAATGCAACGACGCAAGTCCGTTTAAAAAACGGACGGAAATTCAAGCTTTTTCTGTACGAACGTATCCCCGCGGACGAATTGTTGAGAATAAACAAAGACAGGATAAAAAAAATGAAGTCGGAAATGCCAAAAGTATAAAATAAAAAATCAAAAATATAATATACATTTGTCCGAGAAGACACTAAAAGAATGTTCTTCGCATTCATTTTGCATATCATAAATTTGCTCATTACAGCAGTTACAGTTTGTTACTAGCCTTTAAGCACAGAACTGTTTTGAAAGAGAAATCAATTTTTAGGAACGTGGCGCATTTTTTATGTCAAGTCTTCAAATCATGTTAATCTGTCGATGACGTATGCGTTTTTCTTTACGTGGAATAAGATTCTTTCTTATAAAGCTTGTGATATGTATTTTGTGTATGTATGTGATGGTCCCCTTCGAATTGGGACAATTTGTTCTTATATTTCATGAAACAAAAAAAATATCTTACGTTATCGCGTAAAAAGAATTTAAAGATAATTTAGCTCTGGCAGCTTCAACTTTATTTGTTGTGTCTCGTGTATATGTAAAGCGTTGACAGCCGATGGATGTTGAAAGGCAGAATTGTAATTGTGAACATAATTTAAACATAAATTAAAAATGCGATATATAAATTGTACAGCGAAGAAAATGCATGAGTCGCAGCGTTCATCGACAATTCCTTCATATGAAAGTTTATAAGAATTCTTCTTTAATAGCAACGCGGTGCCAAAATTATGTAATTCATGAAAAAGAATAAAAATTAAGTAGAAAAGAATGTCCAAGCTCATCGTGAAATTAAACTCTCAACGTTATATTTTTGCAATTAATGCAAAAACATTTAAATGTCAATATTAATATTATAATATCAATATTAGTTTTATAGAATGTTGTAAAATAGATAAAAAAATGTTTCCTGTTTTTGATTTTTGAATTGAGAAAGGAAATGTATTCATCGCGTGTCGGTAACAAAGGTATTTTACTTATCAAAGTCAGTAAATATTAATTATCTTAAATGAGAAGGAAAAATCAGATTGAAAAATATTGGAAAAGAAAGCAAACAGTTTCACGAAACGTGACGAAACATATTTAATCGTTATAAATTTATTAAATATTTTCTTGATAGTTTGAATTAATTTTTAATTCTTAATTTTTCAAGGTTCTTGATTTCTTTGATTCAAGTTTTCACAATTTTGTAATTGTAATTTTTGAAATATTAAACTTTAAATTGAAATTTTAAACTTTAAATAAAAACTTCTTTGTTAAGATTAATTTTTTATCAATTTTCATGCATTTAAATATTTGTGTCGCCTAAAATACTTATCTACATCAGAAAATTTATTAACTGGCATTTTGTGTAAAAATATGTGAAAATTACATGTGCAAAAGTATCTAAAGATGCTCTTAATGCATATTTTATATTTAAAATATAGAAATATTATATTAAATATTACATAAAAATAAAAAGAATATTGACTATGCAATATTGAAGTTAATATAATACGAATTATTGCGACACCTTATATGACGCAAGAGTCTCGACAACAATTTCTCCGTTGTTTGTCCTATTATTGTACTATTTATTTCCGTACACACCCTGTTGACGGCTGCATTAAAACGAGATACAATTTGCATATATGCAAGTAGGTGCAGCATTGTCGATCGCCAACTATCTGTGTCAGGACAGGCGCATACAAGAAAAGATGCGTTACGCAACGCTCGTTACTACGTGTCAGCGTGTATTTAAATTAAGTCTCATTTATTTTGCATAATCTTACATATCTTTACACACAGCTCGTACTAATCTACACGAAAGGGCGCAGCGGAACATTGACAACCTTAACTTTCTTGAAAAAATGCCGTACACATTAAGGCTTACTGTTATATATCTATAAGGCTTGCTCTATATTTGTATGTCTGATGTCTATCAGAAATTAAGCATTTAAAAATTTAACATTAAATATTTCTTTTTCAAAGACAAATGTTTTAATCCTCTACATGTACGGCAAATCTAAAAGGTAACCCTATTTCAGCATCGAGGATGAGCTTCACGATGGGTTTACAACAATATAAAAAAGATATGGAAGAAAAGAGATTATTGTGATTCTTTCGGTTTCACTAGCCGTTTCTCGGCTGAAATCGAAAGTAATATCACGCTATTTCTTGGATCAGAATACAAAAGAATCGCGATACTTTGGGCTCGGATCTGTTACAATTGCTCTACGGCAGAGCGGAGTCTCGGAGAAATCTTAGTCCGCACAAATGGATGCGATTATCATCAATCAAAGGCCCCTTCGAGCGTTATCACAAATAGAGAGGAGAGCAGCGCGTCGAGCTGAAATCAGCTCTCTCGCTCGCGGCAATCGAGTCCTTCCTTATTTAGAGCGTAATATATGCGGAATGTTGTTATTGCAAATTGGCAAGTCGATACGCTTCTCCAGGCTGGGAGTAGCGGTTGTTATCTCGCATACGCAAAATAATCTTCCCATGATGGCGGTTGAACTGTTGCGGTCTTCCACCGTCGAGTTTCGATTCGATCAATCCTTTCATGCTAAAGTAGCGGTCATAATCCCCAAGCGACGGCTACCCTAGATAGTTACGCAGATAGCGCTGTGCGCGCGACCACGACTAATCTACCGCGAAATGATCTTCTTCGAAATGATCTTCAATCAGTCGATCGATTCGATCGTCTGTTCCGGTCACCAGTTAAAGAACATGGAACGAACCAAATCATTTAAGATCGCAATCTTGAATAACTCTCTGCAAGTGACATTGTGATTTCCCTTAGGAATCAATAATCCGCAATTGAATGTCACGATGCGTGCAGGCGCAGATCACCAGTTGTGATATCAGGATGCCGGAGATCGTCACATTTATTTGCATGCGTTCTTTCGAGATCTTTTCTCGTATTCAAAGATAGTGACGCTCATCGAAACGCCGTTCTAAGTGCGATGAGAGGACCGAGACCTTCTCGAATACTTCTTCCTCTCGGTAACGATACGTCAAACGGCCCCGTACTCCTCGCTCGACGGCGATTCGTCGCTGGCCGATGGTCTGGGTGGTCGGGGCGGTCGTGGCGGTCGATGATGATGCAATGTGGGCGCCGGTCTTCTCGGTGGTGGCGGTGGATGCACTCCGTAAGACGTGTCATCCCCTTCCTCGCTGCTGGGTGATGGAGAAGGCGCTCGATCCTCTTGCTCCTGCAGCAGCTGCCGAAACTCTTGTATCGACTCGTTTAAAGACCACAGCTGCGATAATAACGAGAGATCCAATTGTCGCAGACCAAACTGCAAATGCAAAAAAAAATTATTGTAATATTGACAATTGAAAATGAAAAATAAAGATTGAAATTATTGCAGTGAGTTTTCATTGGACACGCAAAAGTGATTTTTATACTTTTCTAACAGCAAGAACATAACTTTTGGCGTGAAAGAAATTTATTTTTCTATGGCATCATTGAATTAATTTTCATATTAAATCTCAATTTCTGATTAGACATAAGCGTTGCGCATTATTTATAATATATCTCTCGCACAAATTAAAAAAGAAAAGATTAACTGTTATACATTTGCTAACTCTATAGGATCATCGTCCTGCATAATTCACGACTTTTCTTTATTGTTCACCGCGATTGCTGCGAAATTTCACGTAGGGTAGATGAGACGCATTCACTTTTACCATACGGTCACCAAGGTAAATGTTGCCTCGTGATTTGCTGAAACGACGCATTTTCAAGCAACTCGGCAGTCCCCTGGCCGTGGGAATCGAGAAAGAGAGTGTTGTATACGCGCGAGACGCACAAAATGAGAATGGGAAGAGTAGTATGAGAGACGAAGGAGAAACGAGGCTGGGAGGAGGAGAAAGACGACGACGACGACGAGGAGTAGAAGAGAGAACGAAGGTGAAAAGGAGCGAGCGAGGAAAAGAGGGTACGGAGGAGTGGAATCACGCCTAAGGGAATGTAGCGTGGGAGCGGCTGTGCCAGCTTGGTTCGCTTGGTTCGTGCCTCTGGATTGACTATTAAATTATTAGCCCAACTTAGATACGCGAGTCGAGATGTTGACGCGAGCGGAGAACCAACGAGAATGTTTATCACGAGAGCTCTTCTCCTTTCTCGGAGATCTCCTACTCGAGTGTACTGTGTACCGTTACAGTTAATTTTGGGAAGATTGCCGCAGCGCTAAGCGAATGTGGTCGATGTGATACAATAATTTTGTAAACGAAACGAGGATAAAACGACTCGTAGGATCGCTGGGTCAACAGTACGCTCGTTGCCGAAATAATAATAATCAAATAAGGATTGTCGAGTTGTTAATGAGAAGAGTCTGCAAATAGATATAGCAGCAATTTTATTCGAAATGAACGGCCGGTTGGAATTTCAATCGTTATATATCGCTAATCGGCGTAGAGGAGTATGGCGTGTAACTAGCAGCGGGCACGTGAAGTGTAGTGTTTGCGCAGCAAACTTGCAAGGTAATAGCTATTAAAAAAGCGGAGCCTCCGCTCACGGCGAGTGATATAAGCGCGTCCTGTCTTTCTCTAACGCGGCATGATACTCCGGTTTCCCTCGCTGTTTATGATCCCACGTATAAAATACACGCTCATCGCGCTCCGCAATTTGCTCACACGCGATCGCGGTCCCGAGGTAACGGGTCGGCCAGGTCGCCGAAACGGATGCGGAAGAACCGGGAGAAAAAGACAAGAGAGCGCGGCAGAGGTGGACAACGACGGCCGAGGTGGAAAATGACGACGGTTTACGGAACGTGCTCGGACTGAAGATGGAAATCGAAGATAAGGAGTGGCGAGTGGGTCAAAGCTCACAAGATGGTAACAATGCGAAAGATAAAAAAGAAATCAGAGGCGAAAGACAATATAGAGAGGAAATATACAAAGCGCAAAAATTATTAAATGCAGGAATGATAATTGACAAAATAAAAAAGTAAGATAATTGAAAGATCTTTAAGAAGATTGCAAAATCTTTATGTGGAAATATTTAGGTGATCTGGGCATAAATCTACGTCGCGAGGAAACGAGAGTGATGCAAATAATTTGCGCAGTTTCCTATCGACGATAGTAGAAGAACCGCCATGGTCATTTTTAAATCGCACGTGCTTGTTGCACGTGGCGACGTGGAATTTTCCTGCATGCCTATAAATATGTTTCGCGTCGCGGTAGATGACTAATGGTTTCTATTAGAGTTAATGCCTGCTGTTATAGGATGCATCATATCACCAATTTGAACAGCATCGACAATTTAGCGGCTCTCGAATAATATATTGCTGCATACGTCGTAAAATATATATTATCTTCAAATGCATTCGCGATCCTAGAGAATTTAAATCCGTTCCTTCCTTGTTAATTGCCAGACTCAATTGCTTCATCATTTAACGATCACATTCGTGATTCGTGAATTATTACATGCAAAAAATTTTTAAGCGTTCTATATATTTGTCTATAAAATCCTGAGCTCTAAAATTGAATTAATTTTAATAACGGGGAAAATCAAGATTCTTTTCTCTTACGAGCTCGCCGTCGCTTGCGAACATCGAGGGATGCGTTTTCTCAATTGGCACAATGAGAAATGCCGCATTCCTCGATGTTGGCAAAGAAGCGAGAGAGTGCGATTCTAGAGGACGAGTAGTACCATTTCTCTCCTGAGCACCGCCAGTTGGGTATCTAGAGTGGTCAGCTGTCTGGCAGGTGGTGATGGCCTCGATGACGACGATTGTTGCGACGTTTTACCGCTTCTTTGGGATTTACTGGACGATCTTGTGGGCGGTGGAGGTGGCTCGCCATTCTCGCTGCGCCCGCCGCTCAGATTGAAGCCGCTCAAGCTTCTTGGTAACGGGGGTAATCCTTGCAGGGAAGACATCGCGATTCTTTCTTGTATACTGAAACAAATGTAATATTCCACCAACTTTTAATGGCGAACTTATATTTTGCAGAAACGAGACATTCGGCACCTCTCGGTGAATGGGACGATGCAATAAGTTGGCAAAGTAACGTTATCAATAATTACAAGTTTATATATATATATATATATATTTATAAATGCATGTAACATATTAATCAATAAATTAATATATTATATCTCAAATAATAGGATGTTTTGACTTTTAAAATGAATCTTGTTTTCCGACCGTGATGTTGTGGGTTGATGATAGATAAAAATAAGAAGGAAGTGATAAGGATAAAATTTTGATGATACTCGGGGAAAACTACGAGTCGAATGTTCTTTCCTGTAAATTGCCATAGGCGGATTGAAAGCCGCAGGAAACGAGGATACCGTTACGCGATCATCCTATGGAATAAAAATCGATCTGTCTTTATAAGTGTCGGCCGTCCGCGGTCGAAGAAGGCGGGGGATTTGGCGAATGACTCACTTTGCCCTGCGGTTATTATCATCGCGTGCACATCGCGGAAGTGCGCGAAATCCGTCCAATCGTTCTTATCGACGTCGATATCCGTTCGGCTTCGCGGCTTGTTTGCCTCGTCTTATTTTCCGCATGCTGAGATGAGATTGATTCGATATACGCCGACAAGTGCAGGCGATACCGATCCGATACGCGTACAGCGGTTATAGAGAGTGATATCGGTTCAGAGGATTTAAAAAAAATTACAATTCATGAACTAAACTATTCTCGATTGAGAATGGGAAATTTGCAGCCTCTAGGTTTTTGCACTTACATATCTCTCAAGGGATGAATGTCTTCTTTTTTTTTTTTTTTTTCCTATTCAATTGTTTAATCTGTAAAATTTGCGTATATATAATTTTCACCATCCAAAAGCGGGTGTAGCTCGATTTTTCAAAATTTCATGAATAAAAAATTAAGGATGATTCGAGGATTGTTCCGAGGACAGGATAGAAAAGGGAGCATAAAAGCATAGTTTCTTTTTTGATTACTCGACTAATGAGCGGTTGGTTTTTACGGTCGGTCGACATGGCATTTGTTGGGCGACGCGAGAAAGCGGTGCACTCGTGAAATCGCTGGATCGTTGAATTCAGAACGCGTGCAACAAAGTGCGACCCTGCAACTATCACGACTCCCCGATAATTAATACATCGTTAGCGCCCGGGAGTCTCGTGATCGTTATGTGATAGATCGCTTATCTAACATCGTGCGGCATTTCAACATTTTCCTCATTACATTATTTGGAATATAATCTGAAAATGTTAAATCATTTGGACAAGTTTATATTTGAACGTATTTAAATCAGACTTAAAAATTCAAGATTTCTCAATTAACTTTTTAAATTAAAATATCAAAATGCTTTTTATCTCGGAAGCTTCTTTCACAATTATTGAAGTTCTATCGCTGTACAGATGAAGCAATCGGAATACTGAAATGCAGAAAAACGAAAATAAATAATTAATATTGGAAATTAAAGCATTGTATCACAGTCGTCAATAGTCGTCACAAATCTGTGAAAAAGCATTTCTCAATATTAATTTTCTTTCTTGTTATGAATGCAATCTGCATTATACATGATTTTTTTTAAATAAAACATAGCTTTTATAATTTATTTAATCAATAGAAAACTTTTAAATTTGTATTATTTGATGAATAAAAGAGTCTTATTCATCATTGATACAGTTTAACTGCCACAACGAATGTGAGTACTTTTAATTTCAAGATTTCCAGCGATAGCACGATTCTCTACCTGATGAAATCAAGATCAGTGATCCTCTCTTCTTCGCGATGATCATAACCGTTGACGCGATTCCTATCGACGATTTCATCGTCGCCCTCATCTCCGTGCAGAGTGATCTGCGTGGAGGAGTAACGGACACCCGCCTCCAGCCAGTCCTGCCGATGGATATTGTTATCGCTGTCGTTGTCGTTGCTGTCCTCCTGATCGCTGGGCGCGATTTTACGCTCTGGTTCGTCAACGACGAGCACCGTGGTGGCGGCGCGGTCAACGCTCGAGACGCTCGTCGATCTTTCGATCGAGGATACAGTCTTGACACCGCCGTTCCCGGCAGCCTTTCCACTCGTCACGAACGCTTCCTGTTGCTGCTGCTGCTGCTGCTGCTGCGATTGTTGCTCGCTACCAGGACACGACCGGCACGTGGGCGTCGGCCGGGTGTCGTGTCCGTCCGCTCTCTCTAGATTGCCGTTGCATTTTTCCGCGTGACTCAACGTGACTGGCCCGCCAGCGGAATCCGGACTGGAGGACGAGGCACGAGAGTCATCGTCGAGAGACACGTTGACAGTTCTGACCACCGATGGCTTCGTCGTTGTCGTTGTTGTCGACGTTGTCGTCGTTGTCGTTGTTGTCGCTGCCGGCTCGAATTTCTCCGTCGAAATGACGATATTGTTTTCCTTTTGTTGATTCTTGTTGAACGAATCTTTGCATCGCTCACGATGGTTCAGTAGTCCGGTCAACTCTTTCCCGCGCGAGTTCCTTCGGATCTCCAGTCTGCGCTGCGGCCGTTGATCCTCAGTCAGGCTGTTGCGCTTCCGCACGATGTTCACCGGGACGTTTCCCGTAGGATAAATCTTTTCCGAACCGACACCGGATCTTTGATGTTGATCGTGAGAGGTGATAACTTTGTCTCTATTCTGCAACCGATTATCTTCGACATTTCTATCTGATTCGCGCGCCTGCTTGCGATCCCGTTGATTCTTGTCGTTGAATACATTCTCGTCCTTCGCGCACTCTTTGAGGGACTCGTACACGATCGTCCGTCCACCTGTTGCGTCCAATTGTTGTTGTTGTTGTTGCTGTTGCTGCTGTTGTACTTGCACTTGTTGGTCGGACCGCCAGGGTTTCGTGTTTGGCGGCGGTGGTGCTTGTCTAGTGGGACAGGGCGGCCTTGGCGATCTCTTAAGGGCCTCGGCAACCACCTGCCGACTCGGCCGAGGTGGTACCGGAGGTGGGTGAGGTCTCTGACTGGTTGCCAGCTGCATTCCGCTCGCTTTTCGGCTCGCCTAATCGCTCATTCTCGACAACACGTACGTTCAAGAACACGTTTTGCGAAACGTAGGCACTTCTTGAAGCGCGAAACGTCAGCGCTAAACTTGAAACAGGATTCTCGACTTGGAAATAATTCGATCGCCCGCGTTCCACTGCCTTTGCACCATTCGCGCGACGGCGATAACTTCCACAATGTACATTTATGAAGATTCACGTGGCACCTTAAGAATTTATATTTATGCGATGTCGCCGCGAAGTGAGCTCGTAAGATTTCCGAGGGTAATCCCGCGGTTGCACCTTGGTTTTTGGCTCGGCAATAAATTCCGCACTCTTGACTCGCGATTACGTCAATAAAAATATCTACGCTATTACTAAACGCGCCGCTAAATGTCAGCGGTAATGCGAGGGTACCTTCACCTCTCGGGTGTAAAAGACGAGGACTGCGATCCCCTTAAACTTCTCTGAAGATAAGAGGCGACGTTTATCATCTTTATCGCGCTCGTCTGTTTGTTAAGAATCGACCGAATGTGAAAAACGCGTGGTGAAATAAGCTGTGGTGAGCAACAGAAGGCGTTCTACGTGCTCGGTAAACTTTCCGCGTCAGCGAGTGTTTCGTCACTCGCGAAATTCTTCAGATAAAACTTAATTCATTGTTTGTTTGCGACAGTTTGATATTTTGTTTCACTTTGCTGCGAAATCTGTGGCGTATTATCGGTCGCAGACATAGCAGACGTTCTATATTCTTATGACAAATCCATTCGCTCGGACGTACGTCTCGTGCGACGTGCGCGGAATTTCTGGGAATTCTTATTCGCTTAAAACGCACGAGCGAAAACACGAGCGTTAAATGCCGATCGGAGATGACGAGAATGTTGTGCAACGTCGCCACATGATTCCACGCTGTTGCGCCAGCGAAATCGCCGCAATCTCGCCGCGCGTACCCTCGATTTGCCGTTTCCTTCTCTTTCGCCTCTCTTCTCTTTCGTTTCTCCCCTCGAGTCTACCTCGTCCTCTTTATTCGTAAGCGGGTCGCGCGATCGGCGCCGATGCCTCGCGATATCGCCGATGCGATTTTGCATACAATTCTCGCAGGAGCCGCGAAACGAACCGTTCGCTCGTACGTTCGCCGATGTGGCTTCATGCGCGCATGGAGCTCTTCAATTTCCTCCCCCAAATTCACCCCCCGCTGGATCGCGATTTTGCATACAAAATCATCGCATCGTTAAATATTTCTTTCGTGGAGCTGGTTAAAGCCAGCCTTAAAAAGCCAGCTTTGGGTTTTAGTGCGGAGATTACGCGCACGTAGCCTGACCTTCGAGATGATGTTACGGCCTCGATAACCAGCCTTTCTGTCTCGATCGTGCTTCTGCTTTCTTTTCGCGAAGAATATTCAAGCGAGTCGGGCGAGCCCGGCTGTTCTTTAAGAACAAACGCGGCAACCTGACTTATCGCAAGTAAACTTTCTATCGCATACCCCGCGATTCACAATGCGCATATTCACAATTCACTCAAAAGTTCGAACTTATTCCGGGATCATCCTCATACGTCGTGTCCTCTTACCCTCCTTTTTTGTTTTTCAAGCGTATCCAAATTTTTGTCGAAAGTTCGGCAATTGACCTTCCTTATCGTCGACAAAGAAGGGAACATAAACTTTGTTACAAAGCAAAAAAAGAGTCCATGGAACGGATTTTAAATTCATGCGTTATTATTCCGAATAAAGGAAATTCTCGGTTCAGGTCACTTAGCCTTCGCGTCACCCACATCTCCGAGTCACTTCCGAGTCTCGCTTGACGTCACATCGCGTCTTTCACGTTTCAGTGCACCGAAATGTCGCCAGGCCCCACACTTTCTAACGCACAAACAGATCTGTGATTTGATTTCCCCTCCACCGAAACTACGTCGACGATTAAAACACAACTCGCGTTGGAAAATCCACCTTCCGTCAACTCCAAAAGTTTTCCCGCCCTCGTGGCATTGGGCGGCCAATCGCGGGGCGAACAATCGAAAAAAACTTCAATTCCCAGTGAACTAGAATCGAAGAACGAGCCGAAACAACGCGCGCCGAATGCCTTCGGACAGGTAAGAGCTAGAGCAACGACGATCCCGAGACCCCAGGCGGTATCCCCGATCCAGTATCTCCTCCTCCGTCCCGTTTCTCTCCCTCCTTCTCTTTCACCCGATCGCGCGCCTCTATCCTATCTTTCTCGACGGACCGACCACCGAGGACTGACTTTTGCGGTCCCACAAAACATCCTTCGCGATCGGAGGCCACGTGACTGGTCGAGCTCGAGTTCTCATCAGGTAGTCAACGAGTGTGCGCCTTGCGCACGTATGTGTATGTATGAGCGAGCGAGCGAGTAAGCGAATAAGGGACGAGAGAGCGAATAGACGAGTGAGTAAGCGTGCCTCTATATGTGTAAGATGTGTGTGTGTGTGTGTGTGTGTGTGCGCGCGCGCGCGCGCGCGCGCGTGTGTGTGTGAAGGCAACAGGAAGGGAGCCCAAGACAGAGGGAAATGCAAAAGAGGACCTGCGGTTGACGGTGATGGTGAAGGTTCACCATCGCAGTCTCGTGGCGATCCCGTGGCATTACTGATCATGACGATGACGCGCGAGTTCTTGGCCTAGTAGGAAAAATGCGTAGCGCTCCGATCGCTCGGCGTATTACGTAAAATCGGCAGAGATCTCGGAGAGAAAAAGCGGTTACCGTTCTAAACTTTACGGAAAGCCGCGGTCACACTTTCTAGCGTCGTTACGGCGCTCAAGTTTCTTCTCCGGGGATGCTGCCTTTTCCGTAATATTTTCACGGCACGCCAGTCTCTCGACATTCGCTCCGAAGTCTCCGATGATGGAAAAATGAGAAAAAAATTTATATCCAAAAGAAAACTTAATTCATACCTTTTTGTTTGCCGCGATACTTGCGTAATTATAATTTCATTTTACGGTCGCATTATATCATCGATATAAAGCGTTTTCACAGGATCCGCTCGAATGGATACCGCGATTAGAATTCAATTATATGCACCGAGCGTAATGCAATTAGCGCGCCCTAATTACATACGTGCACTCGCCCGAGATTGTTCAAGTTTTATGTAAGCCGATTTCGCCGTGATTCCATAGAATTACGCGAGGCTCACGCTACACTTCACGGTATCCGTCACATATCGTTTCGTTTCTTTACATCATATATCCAGCGCAGGTGTAGCAGTTAATTACTCGCGAATGCGTTCATTTCGAAATACGCATTACTCGCCTCGACGCCGAACGCAACGACGGCGATCCGCGATAAACGTGAACTTTCTAGAGTTCGTGAGGCATAAAGCGCCTTATCGATGATATCGGTTTCCATGCTTCGTCGGAGCACGAACGTCATTACAATTTCACATAAAAGAGATAAACGCGAGGTAAAGAATGCAACGTGGAAGAATTGCAAAGGAACGATTGCGTAGGAACGCGAACGTAAATACGAGGGCACAAACGTAAAAACGTCTTTGATTAATACAAAATAAATAAATTAGGAATCATAAGTTAAAAGGCCACGAAAGTAGAAAGATTAGGAAATCGCGAGTTGAGGAACTAGGAATCACACGGAATTGGAAAGATCGAAAGTCACGAATTAGGAAGACCAGGAGTTATGAATTAAAATGATTAAAAATCATAAAATAAGGGGGGGACTAGGAGTCGCCGATTAATAGGATTAGAAGTCAGTTATGAAACGGAGTTCCCTCGGATTCGGAGCCGACCATCACGGGACCTCCATCCGTCTACCTCCAGCGTTGGGTGTAGGTGTACATCGCGACCGGCGGTATCGTTGTGGTATCGCGTGAGAGAGTAACCCATAGCGGACGGGGAGAACGAGATGGAGAAGGGAAGAGAAAGGAAAGGACTATCGCAGGACGGGGCGAACGAAGCGAGATGGAGAAAAGGGAAGGGACCTATTAGATCCCCTCCGCGCCTCGCCATCCTGCAATGGCACGGAGGTCCGTTCGCCAGTGCCGTAGCTTGCACTACGACATTCTGACTTCCTTTCCTTTCTTTTTCCCTTTTCTACGTTTCGAGGATTGCGGGAAGAGGATTCCAGAGGAGTGCGATTACCCTTAACTCGCACAATTCGCCTTAACGAAGCGATTCCTCTCCTTCGAAGCTCTCCCCTCGCGCGGCTCAAGTCGGCTCTCGGCCGACTTTGCGGGACAGCTTCAAACCAAGTTTTCCGAGCTGTTGAACATGAAGACACATTTTAAAGGTAATCTCGGTCACGTTTCTAGAATCGGTACTCGCGACGTTCCTCGGATGTTTCATAAACGTTTCCCGCCGCTGGAGCGAAGCGGGATCGGGGAGATAAGGCCAAGCGGTATTCCGCAAACTCGCATGCCTCACGAAATGAAGTAACCGCGATGATACGCGGCGTTATCGGGGCGCGATCGCCGCCGCATATCGCCCGCCCATTCACGGCGCAATTAAGCCCGAAGAAGTGGCACGGCCGGGCCGGCCGGCCGGCCGGCCGGCCGGCTGGCTGGCTGGGAAAACGCGGGGCTCGGAATTTATTCACACTCTGTTTCGCTCTGGCTCAGGCAAAAACGACTCGTTCCACTTTTGCGACCGATCTCCCGCCGATAAAATGCAAATCGGCGCCCCTCTCCGTTTTACCATCCTTCTCCTCCCGCGCAATCCGGCCGGTTCCTAGACCGGTCGAAATCGGATCGTGAGCATACATCTGCATGTCGCTCGAAGAGCGTTCCCGCCTGACCGCGCTACCGCACGACGCGGCCGTCAAAACAAAATTCGATTACTGGGTCATGGGGTTTCGTCAAGTGCGTGTTCGAGAGGCGCGGGTTTCGAATGCCAATGTCAGGCGCGAGCTATCTTGCGAACCGTACTTGTTAAGCAGAGATTAAACAAAAAGATATCTTTCATTTACATCGATGCGTAATCTCTTATTATATAAGCGGTACGTAATTCCTCTGAATATACGATCTCTCTTTTCATCCGTTTTGAGAGTTAATAACACTTGTTGTTTTAATTAAAAATAATATACAGCGTTATCTCAAACTTGCTACTTTTAATAATACTTATATTTTTTTTTTAAATTCTATTACACCTGATAATAGCTGACAATATATAATAGCTTTTCAATTGCGATTCTTTCATTGGTTTATATAAAATTTTCGTTTACTTAAACATGACTCGCGCGTGCTATTCTCGTATTCTGTACTTTGGCCGTCGCTTTTATTCCGCCGCGTCGAGAGGAGTAGGAGTCCCGATAGCGGCTCTCCTTTTCGCGATCATAAATAATTCAGCCCCTCTGGCCGGCGTAAACGTGAGATTGACTCACAAAACAAGCGAAATAGAAGCATCACGTTGAAAATGCAACGTTAGCGCAATTGTCGATCCGGCTTTCCTTTTTTTTTTTACTATCCCCTCACGCTCCCCTCACTATCCCCAACGCTCCGCGTTCCATTAAATGCGACGGAGTTTCCTTGCGCATGATTATGCTGGCAAAACGCGCGTTCCCGCAATTAAAGCGAGAGAAAAAGGAAGTATCTCCCCCCCCCCTCTCCCTCTCACCCGCGGTTTCTCGACCCGGTGGGACCGCAGGAGAATGATTATGCGCGGCTATTACGTTACGTTCTTGAACACACGTGGGACAACAGGCGCGTATCGTCGAATACAACGACGAACTTATTAATAATTCAACAACCGACGCGTCACTCACAGAGGCGCACGGATAACAGAGAGACGACAAGCCGAGTCGCGCAAGTTAACCCTTTGAACCGATAGTCTTCTCTCTGGCACGAAGAGTATGAAGCATGCGAGGTCATCAAGAGGTGTCCAAATTTTCGCTGAGATCCACTCGAATCTTGTAAAAAACATTCCTTGAGAATTCCCGAATTTTTCAAATATTTTTGTTCACAAAATTAGAAAATTTCTTAAATTCAATTTTAAAATAAATTTATTATATACATTGTTTAGTGTTTCTTAATTACACAGGAAATAAAGAACAAAAATTAATTACACATGTTGCTGAGGTAGGAATTCTGAAGGCTACAAATATATGCTACAAGACATAAAGATTTAAGGGAATATTCAGAGATAATAGATTTTTCTTATTCCTTGTGAATTGAGGCGCACTAAAATTTTCTGACTCGTTTTTATCAAATTTTAAATATGTATATATCTATTACATATATACATTTTAAGTAAGAGTGTATACTAATTCGATTACAAATAGATCATTATTACGTTGTTCTGATGATCACATACGAGCGTGCACAACGGGTTGCCTTGCAACAGGCAAGCTCAGTTGTCAGCGGATGGATGACTCTAGATAAGCTGTTAGATAAGATAAAATTTTAGCATTATGACGCTTAGAAAACATACGCGTCATTTGCATGAGATTTATTATTCTTCCTATATATCTTCTTCCAGCACACAGATATGCTAAATCAATTAAACAAAAAAAAAACACGTTAGAAAAAAACAACTATAAATAAATGAAAACGCTGTAAAGGATATGTGGATCCTGATAACGCACTTCTCTGTAGCATATATCCACAATTGATTAATGTTTAATCGCAATTTTTTTGGACACTAATCAGAAAATTTATATTTAATTGCCTAACTTAATTAATTAGCGACGTAAGCAATCGTTCTTGTCACCTGCTAGTTGCTTGATCGTCTTGATAGCCTTTTTTAAATCTAGATTCGATTGCATCCAGTTTATGGAATATAGCATGAAAGATTAGTTCTCTATAGGCAGACTATAAACAGCAATATCTTCTTCTTATAATGACCGGTTCGATTTACGGTCTAATTTTTTTCAAGAGGGAAATTTCACGGTAAGCCGACAGGAGGACGAAGGGGTATGCAAATTGTTACCTGATCACTCGCTGCGTGCTGACACCTGCGGGCCCGTGGGACAAGCGACGGCGGTTACTCCTTGAACTTCCACTCCTGGCGACACATCGGACAGATGTGGCTGGTTTGCTGCGAGTGCAGCCACTTCATGATGCAATGTATGTGGAAACAATGCGAGCACTGCCCCCACACTGGAACCAACGGCGAGCGGTTAAATTAATTTCCTCGGTATTGGCGACCAGCGGACACCGAGGGCAACATGGAACGCGCACCTGGCCGGTAGCGACGAGGGAGGGAGCGACGAAAGGACGGAAGGACGGACGTGCGTTATGCCGCGCGTATCGCGCATCGATACCGAGGGTGGCCAGGCCGAGGGTGAGGGTGAGGGTGAGGGTGAGAGTGGTGCGGGACAGCGGCGCCTGCCAGCCGCGTTTTGTCCGCCGGTCGACCGGCACGCGTCGATCGATATCGCGCGCCGTCGCGGAGGAGGTTTTCTCGTAGTGGCGGTATTTTACGAGTAAGGCTCTGCGCACGATAGAGGAATAGAAATAGGGATTAGAAACAAGAATAAATGTCGAATTTTGGAAATAAAAAGTATGGAATGAAGATACATAATGCACAATGAACCCAAGTATAAGATACAGCTATATATTTACTTATATCTATTTTACGTTATGTTTAATTTTTATACCTAATTTTTATTTCCAAAATTTAATATTTATTCCTTTGATTGAATGATTTATAGGAATTCGCACAAATATAAAACATATATTAAAATATATATATATGCGTATATTAAAATAGATTATAAATTGAAACACGTTTAATATTCAGTTTTCATTGGACACAAATCACAATCGTTTAAAGTAGATTGAAAAATAATACTTCGACAAAATTCCGATCAATTTGTTGTCCTGATTTAATCTTCGTTTCCACATGTTAATAATATATTAACAATACAAAATTAATTATTCTACTTATGGTGAGAAAATAAATATTACTTGGAGGATTCTTTACGTGTTTCCAATTAAAATTCGTATACTCTTCTAGGTTATTTTATATCGAAATAAGAAAATAGAAAATTTTCAGAGATAACAATTGTGAAGAGTTCATATTCTTAAAATATTAAAAGAATGTGTATCTCGGATACCTAATGGACAGTCATCCCCAGGGATCTTACAATCTGGACAGCTAGCGTCGAACGGCATTCTGCATATTCCGCAATTATCATCGTTCGCAATCCACCGCCAGGTGGCGACGCCAGTCCAACCTGAAGAAAGAATCATGGATATGATCTAAAAGTTCGAATAGCTCATGATTGAGAAAATGTACGAACGAGGCGGAAGTCGACCGCGACATAACCACGAGATTATAAAAGTTTTACACGCCATTGCAAGAAAATGTATAAAGCATGTCTTCGACAATAAAACTTTTGCTCGGAATACTTACTTTTTATTGTTACCTTCATGACGGGGTTGAGATTGATCTCTCGAGAAATACTATACGAGATGTGTGACGTGACGCGATTAGAATGTTTTTCTTTGCCAATTTCTTTTTCGATTCTCTGTTATCTTGAGTAACGTGGCAACAGCAAAAAAATATTCAGACACGGTTTTGTATTACAGAGCGATCGATTGACTACAGCTAACAGAACAACGCGGAGCGATCAACTGGGCTGCGCCATCTTAAGATTTTTAATTGCGGTTCAACTCTCGAGTTGAGCTTACTTCAGACGATTTGTAATTCGCATAACTTCAAGATAGAAATTCTGTTTACATAACTTATTATACGCTGTATAGTAAAAAATATTTCAAAAAAAACAGAAATATAAATATATAAAATATAGATTTTATATTATTTAGATGCATGCGTATATGTATAAAATTTAAATATGCAAAATTATAAATAGAATTCTATTTCTTGAAGTCCGATACGAATTGAAGGTCATTTAATTGTAAGCGAATTTTGCATAACGTACGACTGACAATATTTATTTCAAACGAAATGTTAAAGAAATAATATATAAAATTAACTATCATTTACTAAAAAATTAACAAAAATTAAACGCCTCAAATTTAATCTGTTTACTATTTTTGGTCTGTTTATTTTTAAAAAATAAACTATAATTATAATAACTATAATGAAAAATAAAATATAAAATATCTAAAGAAAATTAAAATAACTTCAGGTTATATTAATTAAAGTTACATACTTTATATTTTTATATATCGATATCCTGCAAATATGTATTTTCAAATATATATTTACATTTGTTATCAGGAACATAAGCGGCGTATTTTTTGCAGCATCGAGAATAGCATCTATCGAATATTCCATCGGCTTCCATTTGAAAAGTGATTTTTCACTTTATTCCTCGCGATGAAAATTATGTCCATCGAACAGCGCTCTCTTTTTCCGCGCGGAAACTACTATTCCGAAACTCTATTGCCTTCAATTTTCGCTTCGGAAAGTGCGAAAGTGATGTTTGTCTATTTCATCATAAGTGTCTATTTCATCATAAGAAATAATTGACGTGACGACACCCACATGCGAAATGAGCCGCGGCGCAGCGCGTTAATCAATCCTCTTTCCTCTCCCATTACGTATCTATTATTTCCGAAAAAGCGAAAGGCCGATTGGCCATCGCACGGCCGTTTTCCGTGTCTATTGCGCGTCGGAGAAATCAGACCACGCGCCCACCGAAAATTCTATCGGTTTCCATCGGGCTTCGACCCGTGACCGTGACGCGGCGCGACGGTACCGGTCGAATGAAAAGGAAGCGCGCTCCTAGCTCCTATCTGAGAAGGGTTCCTGGTTCCTCGCGCGCAGCGGTGGAGCGCGGCGCCGCTGGACGGCCACGGTACGGCACAGCACGGTGCGGCACCGTACAGCGCGTCGCAGTACGGTCAGCAGCGACGAGAGCGGGCGACTGAAACAGAGGAGAGGAAGAAGAGGAAGGAGAGCGCGATCACTGGCGGCCGAAGATTTCCGTACGGACGACGCGAGAGACCCGCGCAACGCCGGGCGACCATTCACTGGCGGAGCGGAGTAACGCGCGCGCGTTGACCGGACGAGTCGGCGGACCCGACGTGGCCGCCCCGTTGCGAGCTCGCGCGTGATTTTCTGTCAGAAGTCGGCCGCCGGAGAGACACGCACGGCGCGATATGACGAGTCTGACACGGGCGTCGTAGGTCGACCGTGGTCGCCGCCGCGGTCGCCGTCGTCGTTGTCGTCGTTGTCGTCGTCGCCGTCGTCGTCGTCATCGTCGTCGTCACCATCGCCGTCGCCGACTTCCATCAGCAGGCAACGTCGTTCGCGTGCGTACGTGCGTGCTGTCCAACTTCCCAGTTCACGGCGGGGCCTTCGCACGACATGGCGGGCTTTCATGACAGGGACAGGGCCCTGTTCCCGATCCGGAGCATCTCCGCGATTGTCCAGATCTTCAAGAATCAGCTGGAGAATAGCGCCGAGCCAGACCTCGCGTTACTCTCGATCCTCATAGGCGCCGTCGAGAACTCCCTGACGTGCAATCGCGTCTTTACGCCTCAGGAGAATGCCGTCTACGACGAGCCGAAGCTACCACCCGTCGAGTACCACATCGCCGAGGCGCTCTATACTAAATTCCACGCGGTGATCAAGGGTGCCGTGGATCTCACCGTGTACGACACCAAGTATGCCACGAGGGAGCTCGTGAAAAAGGTGTCGGATGTAATATGGAACTCCCTCACCAGAAGCTACTACAAGGACCGAGCGCATCTGCAGAGTCTCTACAGTTACCTGACGGCGAACAAACTTGACTGCTATGGAGTCGCCTTCGCCGTAGTAGCCGGTTGCCAGGTTCTGGGATTCAAGGACGTGCATCTTGCCATGTCGGAGGATCACGCGTGGGTTGTGTATGGAGAAGATGGTACAGAGACTGCGGAGGTTACATGGCATGGTACGTTGGCGCAAAGACTAGTTTTTTTATTTTTTTGTATTGGATTATCATGCCACCAAGAACAACACGATTATATAGAATACTCAAAGAATGTTTTTTTTAATGTTTTATATTTTTTCTCTTTTGTGAAATTTTGTGTGAAACATGATCATAGTACACAAGTACATATAATTTATATCTCAATTTTCAATTTATCTATTCTCAAAATTTGTTTATTATAAGTAAAATGATATTTCTATCTAAAATTCTTTGATATAAGATGGCAGAATCAAGAACCTGGATCTTTCACTAAAGTTATCTTATTGCTAAATATTTCACATATTCTTTTTAGTCATAAATAATTAAGATTGGTAACTGTAATTTATTTATCAGGTAAGGGAAACGAGGACAAACGCGGGCAATCAGTAGAGCCTGGTGTAGCATCTCGATCGTGGTTGTATTTAAATGGCCAAGCAATGGTATGCAGTCGTGCTTTGGAAGTGGCCACCATAGTATCGGCTATAAATCCTAGTCTGAATGCGACTACTGACGCGGCCGAAGTGGCGTTGCTCCAGCAAGAATTACTGTGGCTGCTGTACGACTTGGGCCATCTAGCAAAATATCCCATGGCATTGGGTAATTTGGCCGAGTTGGAAGAGGCTGCGCCAACTCCTGGTAGACCACCACCGATAGATCTCTTTCAGGTTTGTGATTCTAAAATATTTAATATAGCAGCATATTGTTTATTCATACATCTACATACAGAAATATTCTGAACGTAATATTTTTGTAGGAAGCTGTAAGATCAGCAAGAAAATACTATGGAAACGCGCATGTCTATCCTTACACCTATCAAAGTGGATATTTGTATCGACATGGATTACATGTAAACGCATTTGCTTCGTGGGCTGATGCCGCTGATGTTTTGCGAAAGTAAGTAGTCTGACGCATGATTTTTTTTAAAATCTTTTTTGCATATCGTTACTGTGTTCGTTGAATTCACATATCTTTGAACAGTGGCGTTAATAGCGCCAATGAATACATTAAATATCACTTAATGTATTAATGCGAGAGTTTGTTAGCGCGGTGAATAATATAATTGTATGTGCGGCAGATACGATTACTCACGGGACGATGGAGAAATATACAAGGAATTGCTGGAGATCGCTAATGATCTGATACCACACGCGGTGCGCGTCGACGAGCGCTTACTACGGCAGCCACGTTGCTTCGCGTACCTGCTAAGATTCTACGATGGCATTTGCCAATGGGAGGAGGGAGCCAACACACCTGTACTGCACATAGGATGGGCCCGCCCGCTGGTGAACACGATCTCCAAATTTGACGCCAGTATACGCGCTCAGGTCGTCATCGAATGTTATGAAACGGAAGTTAAGCAGAAAGAGGGAACGGCGCAGAAAAGGGAGACGACTCCCGAGGAGACTCTGAACAATAATAATAACAATTATTGTAAAACCAAGGAGAGGGGAAATGCGGCGCGGGATCTGATCAAGAGCCTAGAGTCCAAAGTACCCTCCAATTCGGCGTCAACGCATCCCAGTATCCAAGCTCTAACGGCGGCTTGTAGCGAAAAGATACTTAACAGAGATTATCTGCTACAGGGTGGCGGCGAGCCGTTTGTCGCGCCGCCAGATGACGCTTTACCACCGGCGCCCTCCACCTCCCAAGAGAACGTCGAGCCCGAAGTGGAGGCTGACTCCGAGAGTGAGAGACCGAGGATAACGTTGTACAGCCAGAAGATGAAGGGTCTCAAGGATCTATTGCTCGCGGAGAAGCTCAACACCCAGGCGATCTCGCTACAGCTCACAGCACAGAGCCAGGTACAAATTGGTAAGAAGTCGCGTGGCAGCGACGACGTGGGAGTCAGTCAGCGTCCTAAGAGGACGCGCCGAGAATAGTATAAGATCTTCGACCGACGTTTCGGTATAGTGAAATATTGAAAGTGCCACCACACTTCTCGAGATTAAATCTCCGCTCGGTGAATACGAGCGGACACGGGACGCGAACGGCCAACTGTCCAGGCATGGTCTTCGCAAAACAGTCATTAAGGTATACCGACCTCCTCGCGCTCTCGGTGTCTCCCCCTGGGGCGCGGACTCTCCTCGGCTGGACTCCTCTCCGGAATCTCGATTCGAGAGCGTCGTGATGAATTTCGTGCCGTTTGATTTGAATAAAGCCCTCCACGGTGCTCCTCGTTTTGCAACGACGCCGCGGGTCCTTGCAAGACAACGTTTACGTTACCGTCGGGGATATATTGCCGTTAGATATATATATATATAGAGTATAAAGTAGGTATGGAGAGAAAATTTGTAGAAAAGTACAAAAAAGTTTTCCCCGCTTTTTAAGTTAATAGAACAGAAATCACGAGTCGCTCTCTCTCGTTGTCTCGCGATCATCAACTCGTGATTCGAGTACTTTTGTGTGTAAATATTTCTCTATTGATTCTTCCACATTGCGTAGAATTGTGACTTGCGGTATAAAAATGGGGGAAAGAGTGGAAAGAGAATCGAATGTTGTACCTAATCTGTCTCCGCGGGTAGACCGATCTTTTTGGAGCACAGCTATTTATTCTACGAATTATACAATTTACCGACAAATGTCACCGACGAATGCGCTCGGTGGTCGTCGCTTTTGTCATACGTATATAATCTCTTGTTGCACTCTTATTTATTGATTCACGTTTTTTCTATTTGAGCTATTGCACTATTGATAATTACGATTGACAAGTTGCCGTTAATGTTTTTTACACTTGGTAGTTGAACTTCTGTTAGAATTACGCTTCTACAATCTAGTAAGGAAAACACATTCCACTCCGCATGTGGTGCAAACTAATTAAGTTCTTATCTTAAGGTATTTTAAGCATAAAATTCTCGCTTATTTTTATAACTATTTATTTTTCGGAATAATTGTAAGTATCTACGTTTATAAGACTTCTCTATTTTACTGTTTGTCGATAGGCGCGGAATGAGCGTTAGACAGTTTGTTATTCTGATCTTTGAATCTGAACTATCTGAAGTGTGTAAGATGATGTCGTATTTTACTGCGAAAGAGGATAGAAGTGCACTTTAGCACATTACTATCGCGTATCGCTTGATCATCATCCGTGTAATCCATGTAATCTCTCTTCCGTCTTAGCTTTTATTTGTCCGGTGATAATATCTGAAAACTGTCTGCAACGTCTTCATTCGCGCGCTCTAGAGATTAGTATTCGATTTTGTCTCTCGTTCTTTTTAATCCGTTTTTAATCGCGAAAAAAAAACAGAATGGTGACCCTTACGGTTGCACTTGTGTTGTGACTATGATCATGTTCAGTTAATCGTCGATAGTAGTCATGCTTCTCCGATTATTAATCACCTTCAATCAGATGCGGTTCTACGATTCACTACGATTTTTAATTAATACTCTCTCGCGACTTTCACAGGTGATCGATACCCGATCACCTATCCATACTACGTAAAACTCTCTGCGTTCACATGCCGGACGCGGCCGGGATTCTTAGATGATGTTTAAAGCGGATTGTTGTAGAGTATGTTGTTGACAGGAATGAAAATATAATGTCCGAGCTGATCGACGATAACTTAATAATGAAGGGCGCTATCTTACTGTGATGCTGAATATATATACTATATATATATTATATATATATATATTATATTATATATAATAAAACAAAGTATATATATATATATATATACATATATATATATATATATAAATATAATTATACGATTTAATAACCGTAGTTGATAATGGGCGACGCGATACGATCCCATAAACCGCCATGTCGCGACTATAAAACTAATTAAACGACCGTAGTATTAACTTTAATCAAGGAATATGAAACCGATATCGCAATGACAGTCCGTCGCCTGTGGCGCGCGCGCATTAAAATTCACGCAAGATTTTTCTGCGGAAAGAACGACGTAGTACATCAACGATTATTTTCGTTAAATATCGTTTTCATTATCGTCTCTCTCTTTTCTTTTTAGTATGAAACTTCATTGTTATTGCTGTAGCAATTGCTGTAGTTATTGCTGTCTTTCCTTTCTCTCGATGTTCTCTCTCGTGGCGTGCGTCTTTCCCGGCGTCTTCACCGAGGCTGCGTTTCACCAATCAATCTGCTTCATCTAACTTCGAGCAGTGGTTTCTTGAGCAAAGATGAATTCAAGAGAGTCTCTTATTACAGGAAATTAAATAATCACCCGTTTAAGAATATTTGTAAGTGGCAATGCTCGGCAAGAGAAATTTCTGCTTAGAGCAACCACCTTCTTGATCATGACATATATAATCCCTTGTACATATATACCTTTTGTAAAATATTATATAATATTACTCATGTACAGCTCTTATATGTATAATCACTGCTCCGAATTGGCTATAGCGGATGTTGGTGTGACCGGCTCTGAAATAGAGGGAAATTCCGCGTGGGAGAGCAACGATTGCGACTCTTTAGAAACGTTTCATCCAGAGATAAAAGAATATGAGCCCCCGAGCTCACGTGCGTCGCAATCGCGATAGGAACTTCGCGATACGATTCTCCTTGATTCTCTTTTTTTTTTCTCACATATACACACGTACACATACCCCGTATTCAGTATTCTTTCCTCGTCCACGATAACGGAGCGTTAAAGACTACAGGGATTATAATGTGCATAATGGTAGGGATAGTAGGTGAAGATATGGTGCATCAGAACAGTATTTTTGTATTTAACGGAGGACGCGCCCTCCGATCGACGATATTATCGGTGATGTTGTTTGCGAGCGTAGGAAATCAGAATGTAACAAATTGCTGGGACGTCTCGACGGCGGCCACGTTTATTGGCGGACTTATCATGAAGCGTTATATTTTTTCCGTAACTTTTGCCGGGATGTATTCCACCGGAATTGCGGCGATCATATGCGCGAGCTGGGCTAATCTTGCGTGCGAGTGATGACTTTGAGAAAGCAAAAGCGATGATGACGACACTCGGAAAATATTAAGATCATCACGCGAGATTTATTCGCTTCTTTGCCAGTCACGTTCTCTCGCCCTCGTTCGTGAACGATTGATCGACGAATTATGAGACACTTGCGCACAGGAAGGTTTCACCTTCACCCTCAAAAGCGTTCCTCGACGACTTTGAAATATTTTATTAACCGAACTCGCAGTATACATCCTTTAAGAAACGATTTTTAAATTTGCCTTCAATTAAAAACTCTAAAAAAGTCTTTCATGAACTTAATCTTTACCATATATGCTTTAAAATATGTAAAATATATATGTATATATTTATATATATATAATATATTAAATATATTAACATGCTTTATATATTTTTTTACGTATACGTAGTATATAAAAAATATATAAAGTATAAATATATAAAATATATACGATATAATAATTTTCAATTTCGAACAAAGTAACAGATTTCAAAATCGTCGAAGGATTTTATTATTAAAAGTGGGTAAGGGTGAAATCTATATCTTCTAGAATGTGAAAAAATGTGTACACGGTAAATGATAGATTAAGCTCCATCTTTTTCATCTCTGCCCTTCTTACTTCCAATTTTTGCATCTTATCTTAGAAAATAGTACTCGCCATATACCTCTCTATTTTTTCTCATTCTTAAAAATATGACTGCTCGAAGTTGCCTCGCTTTTTACCATAAAGAAATAATTGAGATGGATGGTCGACTTATTTATAGGATCATTTTATGATCTCAGAACGTGTCAGAACGTGTTTTAACATACCAATTATGCGCCAGTCGTATCAATTAGTGACAAGTTTTAGTAAAGGAAATTTCTATTACGTAAAGATACGACCATTACAATCATTTTTTTAAATTGCGTAAAATTGAACGAGTGATGTAAATAAACAAAGTTTTAACAAAATAAGACCAACTACAAGTTATAAAATTTTATGTTATTTTTATATTTTCGAACGATATACTCTGCGTTTAATTTTTCTCATTTTCCAGTAAACAGTTTTAATTCGTTCAATTTTTCTGTTTTTCCAGCATGATTTTATTTACCACGATCGTGATATTTTTCTGTTTCTCTGAGAACCGCCGTTGTCGATCGAATCCATCCAGTATATTTATTTATCTTTGTGTGCCATAAAGCCTGCTTGCTGAACATGCATGATTCATACTGCATGCAACGACACGTGTTAGCCACGCCGTTAGTTTCCTTACGAATGCTATATAGGATCGATCAATTTTTCTGTCATGCGCAACTCATTCCGCTTGTTTTTTCTCAACATTGACGCGTATTCGCACCGAGTCTCCAATGCGGAAATCTTAAGTACGAGTATAGTTTAATTGCACTGATTACCGAGAATCCTATTGTTCGCATTACTTTTCTACAGGCACTTCGGGCTTGTGCGACATGACAAAGCTTCTGAGACAATACGAATAACCGAAGGATGTTTACAAAGTTCTTGAAAATGTCTTTCGAACATGTTTCGGATTTTGCGTTGTTTCTCTATACTATAATTCGACCGGCGAGATAATATAATTAGTAATATCAAAGTCTTTCTCGTTGGAACGATATCTTGCTCGGCTCTCGTCGCACTTTATTAATTTCTATAGCAGACGGATAATGCGATACTTTGCCGGTTGAAGAACTCCTGCAACGAATGACCCATTACGAATTTGAAACTCTGTACGGATGATGATGTGTAAGGTTTTATTATAAAATAGTCCCTCGAGACAACGTGCGATTCTTTCTGAGCGTTACACATTTATAAGATGCGCTTTGAGATTTATTCAAAAGACAATTCATCCAGAACTTCATAATGGAGATGTACTTCCACGTGAGGGCGTGTTAATTATGAGTATATAGGAAAACGCTACTAGAGTAAAACTAAGTCCGAGTGTTTAAACATCTCTCTCTACGAGTAATTACACTTGCTAAGCATTACTTCTCATGTACTTAAGCGAACAAAACCGAAGAGAAGCCTCGGTGACGTAAGCGTTACACGCAGAGCTGTGTGAAATATTACTTCACAGTGTTTCGATTATAAGCAGTCAAATATTCTCTCGCATAATCACTTTCCTCTCAGAAAGCGCAGTAATCAGAGCGTCCATCGGACGCCAATATACATAGAATCTAGAATTTAGAAACGAGCTAATTATCGATACACAGAGACACATACATGCATACACACATACATACGCACACACGTTTAAATAATAGACAGTGAGATATGAAGAATGGACGTGACGCTCGCAAGAATGGAGTAATATTTTGCTTGTCTCTGATTACACCGATAACGATAATCGCGTCGAGCTCGACGGTCCGGATTTACGGGCGTCGTAAAACACGAGGAGAGAAAGAGAAGGATGAAAGAGTAAGGAGAACACCGGCGCTTATTCTCTTCCGCAATGCGATCAGAAGGATAGGCGTATCGCGACATTACGACAGCAACAGTCACAGTGCAAAGCCGCCGAATCGCGATATCGCGTGGTAATAAAAGCCATATGTTAGCTTCTTCTTATCTATAGGGATATACCAAACGCATAATCCGATCCTTCATAAATCTGGCTGGATTCTGGCTGGATCCAGCGTATCGAGTATTAAGGACTGTCGCTGCTGCCGGTATCGCGACACGGCGACGAGCCGACGAGCGAGCGTTTTCGCGTGGTCTCGAAACAGGAGGGAGTGTAATCGCAGCTAATTGTTAAACTGACAGAACAGTGAGACAGACAGATCTTAAGGCATCATGGAAATGTCTTGTTTTTTTCTGTGGATTACAATAAACTATTTTATTCTAACCGGTGGTAACAGATTCAATCGATCCCTGTCCTATCCACTTTTTTTTCATACATATATTGCTGTCTATGAAAAGTGCTCTTCGAGCGTTAAGATATACACTACATTTGGTCCTTCTAAGAATGAAGATATCGTTAAAGTACACATTTCTCTTTATTGATTGACTCACTGTCTTCAGAAAACGTCACTCTCGTACATTATGTCGAAATTATGCTTCGTCATGTATTACAAAGAAAAAATTTCGGACAGAGAGCATACCGCACTCGCGTCGGTGTCGCTTTAGCGAGTGCGACGGTTTTTTATCACGCTATAATAAATGATTAATATAAAAGGCATAATAAATTATAGAGTTAAAGCAGTCCTTAATTTTCTAGTAATATTTGGTCATTTGGTCGCTTTTCTAAAATCAAAATATTGATGTTTAACACGCATTGTCTCCTTAAAGACATTCAAACGGATAGTTTTAGCACTAATTACTTCGAATAATCTAGATGGATAGTTTTGTTGTCAACGCATGAGTCCTCGGAGAGAGGAGACAGTACGATGGTAACTTATACTTTACAATAGAAAAACAAATCTAACGAATTTATATAATACAAAGTGCCGAAAACCGCCGAAAGAGTTATGAATGACATATTATTTTTACTTATTGGTACTTATGCTCACCCACAGTCGTCTGCGGTTCGATTCAATTTCGTCTACATCTATATGTTTAGGCAAAGGTCACGTTTAATACTGTACTTACAAAGATCATGTCCCGATTCGGGTGATTGAGAAAAGGGGACGCGAAGTAAATGCTACTGATTTAATAATTGAATATAACGATATATGATGAACTTAATTCATATTTGAAGAACATTGGTGACAATATGTTTTGCAAATAACTTCCAAGATATCAACAAGAGTATAGCTTATCGATTATTTATCGTGATGAAGTTATCGCTGTACAATGAAATATTCTATAAATTCGTTATCGATTATTGATGATCCATCGTTTGAAAGAACCATTCCGTGAAGCGCCGGAGTTGCTGTGCAGCCGCGTGATTCTCGTCTTTCAGACGGCGATTTTCGTCTTCCAAGGAAAATCGTAAATTCTCGGACTCTTGCAAACGCCGATTCTCGTCGCGCAGTCGGCGCACCTCGTCTTCTAACGAGAGTCGCAGACGCGTCTCCCTCGCCATTCTCAGTTCGAGAGTGGACAGATGAGACTGCAAATCCGAAACGGGATTCCTGCAAAACATACAATGTATTCAAATTGTTCAATGTCGCTCGACTATAAACTATATATGCTTACGTATTCGCGTTGCATCCATCGATAAGTCTGTCGTCAGACCATTCTTGAGGATGCTGCTTTGTTGACCTGTTTGAATCTGCGTGTTGATTCTTCCAACAATCCACATTTGCATCGTTATGAGTCTTTACATCTTTAATCGGCGTTAGATTATTGTGTGGCTTTATAATCGAATGAAGCGGTTTCGTGACACGCGGCGATAATCTAGAAAAAAATGATTTCATTTCAAGCGAGTTATTTATCTATTTCATTCTTATCTATTATTTATTATTTTATTATATTTTGCTAGTACGACATTTATTTTTTGATATAAAAAAAAGTATTAAGTTCCATAAATTTGCATACCTTTCCTCCTTTGACAACTTGTTTTCACTCGGTGCTGGACTTGAGGCAGTGCTGGCGTTTGAGATCACTGTGGCTGGCCTGGCCATCGTCAGGATCACTTCCGATCCATTGTTCCCGTTTTCCTGCCCATTCGCAGGCAATACACTCAAAGTGGATGTACTGTTGCCACACAAATTCTCCCTAGACCTACATCTGTTTTGAATTTCCAACATATTGTTATTCATCTTATTCGAGTTTTGATTCGGGCTCATCACGCAATTCACAAGATTGTTATTGACAATCTGGCTGTCGTCGGCAATATAATCGGGATTAATCAATCTCATGAGATCTTCCTGCAGCGTGCTAGACGTTAAATTCGCGGAATTTCGATGCGCGTTCCTCATACCCGGCTTGGGCCGTGGACTCTGATTCCTAGAGCTGCCGCTGGATGGAGTACGATTTCCGCCACGATGTTTGTTAGCGCGACGCAGTCTGGGCGATACGCTGCCAGAGCCGTTCGACAGCTCGTCCTCGCTGGGCATTGTAGTCACCTCCGGGCAATTGACGTCCGATATTCTCACTTCCGGTGGCAAGCTCGCCGGAAAATCCTTTGACTGACGGTATTCCACGTTTACTTTGTGCACCGGTCGTTCCGACATACTAGTCTTCAGGCAGGTGACCTTTTCACCTACTTTGAAATCGTGCGGCATCTCATATTTCATGGGTTCTCGATTGTGCTCGCCATTGCTGTCGTTATTGTGTTTCCTCTCGTTACCAGCATGCTGACATTCCATCTCGTATTTGGTGAGCTCCGCGTCGTATTTACTGTTTCTCCTTTCGTAAATATCCTCCGAATATTCGTAGCCAATCCTCTTCTCATGAACCCGCATATCATGTTCATACTTGGCTGTCGAGCGTTCGATCATCTTTTCCTCCTGCATCTCATACTTCGAACCTCTTTCCGATTTCGTGGGTGTCTCGTAATCATACTTGCCGCCGGATTGCTCGTATTCGTTGTACCTGCCGAGATTGTTGTTGCTGCCCGACTTTGGCAGACTATAAACGGCGTTGTGCGCCAACGGCAGCGAATTCGACACGCCGAGCTTCTGATGGTTACCGTGATGTTGCACGTCATTCTTGTGAAGTTCTCTCTGAGACGCGTATAGATTTTCTTGCTTGTTCTCGTATCGCTCTTTCTGCATCTTCACGTAATTCGTGGTTACGTGATCCTGACCACGATGCATATTGTCCAATTGCCGCTGGTAATTCTCATGTCGCGCGTTCTCCTGAATGATTTTCGACGACACATAATTGCTCTCCTTCGTATAATGCTCGTGACCATGCTCGCGATGCTTTGAGCCGTCTACGAGCTGTTTGGCGCTGGCGTAATGAGACTTGTCTTTTTTCTGACCAGATTTGCTCGGTGTCACGGCTTGATAATTTTGTCGGGCTGGTAACGGTGGCGGCGTACCGTCCGCGCGATGACTGCCGTCTTGATCCTGCGGTTCTAGAAGCTCGTACCTGCAAGAAAATGTGTTTTATTTCTTCCAAACGTAAAATAATTTTCTATATTGCCCGATAAAGACGGACGCGATATGACGTAGTACAACGATATACGTTCAACGATCAACAGTTCTAAAAGGTGCTTTGTTAACGTTACGATGAGTCGTGTAAGGATTAATGCGATTTCACTGTTAATCACTTACCAACGATCATCGGCACTACTGTGTCCGCTACTGCTGCTAGTCATTGTACCCTCCAACGGAAACCGTGGATCGTTGAACGATCTAGAGCTTGATCCAGTACCATACCCGGAGCTGTTGCTCGATCGCGGCGGACTGAACGATCGATCGTATCGCCGTTGATGCGACATCGCCGTTTGCTGAGTTGGCGTGTTATCCGCGCTGGTTACGTTCTCGTAATCCCCTTCGTAATTATTCGACAGATAATGACAATTTTGCAGCGTGCAGCCTCTGTCGTACAAAAAAAGAAGTGTCTATTTAATAATTCAGTTAATTTAAATAAAACTAAACTTGTATCATTCAAATTTAAAAATTGAAAAACTTGTGTTTATATAAGCGGCGTGCAAACACAAATTAACAAATTAATTAAGACTGATTAAGCTTAATTTTTTATCTGATTTTCTTTACAAGGTAATTAAAATTGACAGTAAAATTCGGAAGATCGAGATAAAATAATTTAAGATCCCGTACCTTCGTGGATTTCCTTCGTTAGTTGGAGGTATTACGGTGACGGTAACTTGGACACTGGTTTTCAATAGATCGACCATTTGATCGTGACTCAAGGTCGACACTGCCACCTTGCAAATCTCGACCAGCCTGGAGGCCTGTCTAAGGCCCGCCTGCCATGACAGCCCCATACTTTCAACCTGCGTTACAACACCGTCGGGTTGAACGTGGAAACCCAACTGTCCCAGGCTGTTCCTTTTCAACGACAGCTCCGAAGCTGGTGCGCCTTGAGTTACAGCACGCAGCCGAGCCACAATTTCCATTAACTCGTCCCTCTCGCCGTAATCACCGCGTACGTGTATGGTAATGCATTCACCTTGATGATGATACAATCTCAAACTGAAACGCAGAGCAAAGCAAAAATGTCAGGTCGCAATTAATCGTTCGATTTCCTATCGTCCATGAGCGTTTTTACGCTCATGGACGATAAACTGGTCGTGAATAATGCGATAAGTGGCGGTTACGCGATCTAGTAAGCGAGTTTCAGGGAGAAATCATTACGATTGGAGGAACTTAATTTTTTAGCGAAGAGGAAATTTCCGATGAATAGACATACGTGAAGGTAAGTTACTTGACAAATTGGAATCCAAGAAAATCATGCAACCCAATGATTACCTGTTTGTTTGAGCATGCCATCCGAGCACGCTCACGCACGGAGTGACAAATACTATCTGCCTGGAGTGCTCTTCGATCAGCACGATAGTATCTATGCTTATGCCTAAATAACAATCGGTGTTTTGATTGCTATCCTCGAGTATGACTTGCCAGCAAATCGCACCGCGCTGAGACGCGTCGCAAGAAAGTCTCGGTCGCACCGTGGTCTTCTTCTTGCTACTGAAGGAGAGCATCGCTGTTTCGCGAAAAGAAAATAATAAGTATCTCAAAAATAATTTTAAAACAATTTGCAATGTAATTAATTATATAAGTAAGAATTAACACCGTTACGATAAAAAAAATAAATAGAGTTTGTTAGAAGCTGAACGTACAGAATTTCTGGCCTGTGTCGACGACTGTAGTGGTAGTATAATTCGTAGCGAGATCCTTTAGATATTCTTGTCTCGTCCTCGTAGCCATCGTGGCAAACTTTTCAGATCTAATAAAAGATGTATAATCAGTTTCATTAATTCTAATTGATAACTAAAAAAAGAAGAAAAGGCGATGGATTCTACCTGTGAGCTGCGTTTTCGGCGTTTATGACTTTCGCCAGGATAAAGTCCGCGAAAGCCTTTCCCTTTGTGAATGTGGCACCCTGTGGAATTGGCGGACCAAAAATGGGCACTTCCTTGCTCCTGGATACTGCCACGCTATATTGTGTGTTTTCGGTGCAAGGATTTATGGCCCGCACAACAATAAATACGTGTTGAAACTGGGAGCGTATTCTTCGCGGGCTGAACGGTAACGCGCCAGGTTCCTAGAGCAAATAATTGTACAAATTACAAATTTAAATAAATTGTACAAGTTGCGATTGTAAAATCTTTTATTAAGCCACATAAAAAATATACGGGAGCAACACTTTTAACTAAAAAAAAAAATATCTAAAAATTTGGCCAAATATAGATCTGAAAAATAATTTTGTTGAGCTATTAAAGTAATGTTGTAAGATCAAATTGGTTACTAAAATATAAAAACAAATGTAGTATTATGATTCTAAATGATTCTAAATGTTTTACGTAATAATTTTGACGGCTCATCAAAATTATTCTTCAGATCTATATTTGGCCAAGTCAGATCTGCATAAAGTTAAAGAGCCAATAATGCAAATAAATTATTCTCGGATTTTAACGTGAGTACACATTCTGATTAAATATCCAACAAGGTGAATCACGACGGACGAGATTGCGTTGCATCGCGCTACTTTTTTGCGGACGTGCCGCATAATAAATCTAGCGCGCCGACAGGAGAACCGTGCGTCATATCCACGCGGTCATTATTACACAATTGCGTAATCGCGCAGCCTTAATTTACGACCGGCGGTAAAACTGTACCTGAAAAACTATCGTGACTATGTCATTTCCGATGTGCCTCTTCCTCAGCAGCTGCTGCCGGTTATTAGGAGTGAAGGGTAGCATGGTGGATACGTGAAAGGTGACTTCCGTCCCGCGATGCGTCGCCGCCACCGCGTGCGTACCCGTCGAGTCGGTTCTGGTGTCCAGTCCAGCCTTGTAACCCTCGAATCCTCGCAGTCTTATTCTTTGGCCTGTCATGAAAACATGCAATCATCTCAATTGCCCGGCGCGCGTCGAGAAACCGTCGTTCGTGTCGTTGACGTGCCTTCAGCTTCAAGACGCACTTGCACTTACTTACACGTCGAGCGACGTTATCAATCCTCTTTCGCGCGATTTATATCCATTTCTATCAGTGCAAATTAGATTTAATCTCGATTTAACATATTTTTAAGCTTCTTTTAGAGAAGATTTTTTTTTAAAGATAAATTAAAACAAAATAAAAATTAATCCGTATCAGAAAAAAATGGACATTAATTGCACGAGATATATTATATTGAAGGAACATATTTGTCGCAAACGTGATCGTAATTTTCCGAGAAGGGGAGATAAAAAAATCAAACGAAGAAACAAGAAATAAATAAAAAAAAAAATCATTACGCACGTACTTGCATATCGATATAATTTAAATTTAAAAAAAGGGAAAAAATGTGTTCCAAGCGTCTCTAAGCCGTTTCCTGTTTTTAGAATTACGCAGGAAAGCTGATAATCGCGTCTACGAATTAACGCGAGATAATCATCAGCCTGGCGCCCGCGGAAGCGGCGCGAAACGCAACGCGATGTTCAAGAAAAGAAAAAAAAAACAGGACGTGCGTTTCTCTTTTAGAAAGCGACAGTAATCGTTAATGGGGATAACTAAGGCGATCGTAAACGCAACGAGGAGAGCCACACGTAACGACCGCGAAATTACGCGTGCGTTTGCGCATGATTAGCGTTACGAAGTACAGTAGGCGAAATCATTCCGGAACATTGAATCGGCTAACCGCCGATAAAGCGAGTCAAGCTATCCGCGAGCCAACCGGCGGAAAACCCGCGCGTAAAACCCGCGTGTAAATCGCTTTTCCGGCCGCTTTATTTTACGGCATTTACGAGGGAATAATTTCATTGACTTCCAACGAGAGAGAATTCTTCGACTCACTGCATTTTGTTAACCTGTTAATATGATAATGTGCATCGCGAAAACTTTCTATGTTGTGACGAAATATGCATCTCCTAATAACAAGCGAAAATCAGAAGAATTGGAAAAGAAATTTTTTTAACACACACACATAAATAAATAAACATCCTTAAAGCAAGTGCAGGTGCTCCAGAAAGCAAGTGCAAAGCATTTGTACTAAAAATAAAAGTAATATACAAATGCATCTCTCGAATATGAATTTAAAAATATAGATATATGAATATGTGATCTCAAAGTTACTTGGTTACAGAGAATAAATACGTCAATAAATTGCGTACCAATGGTGTCCAGGAATTCCAGGAAGGCTGGACCAGCGTGCTGATTGTTGTACATCTCCTCTTCGGTTCTCTGACCGGATCGGCAGTACAGCACGCCGACCTTGTATCTATTGGATAATCCTTGCTCGTCCAGCCTGGCCAACGCTTCCTCGGCGGCGGCCATGCCGAGCCTCAAGCAGCCCAATTGTACTTCCGGCGCGACCAACTCCAGGAGTTCTCTAGTTGGCGGCCGACCTTGCGGCCTGATACCGAGAGCTTCCTCCGGCACGGTGCCACGTAGCGTTAATAATTCCGATGTACGTACAATCACGCGATAGTGATTGACATCCTTGCGAATGCTGATGGCCACCGGTCCTAGCTGTTCATCCATGCCGAACCAATTCTGATGCTCTCGTCCTACAATACGATATTTTTCTTTACATGTCTATAAGACACTTTGAGCGAATAATTAATTATGCGAGACTTTCTGTATTATTTGTATACGGATATTATTCTACTTATTGTTTAAATAAATTAAAAGAAGTAAACTTAAAAAAAAAAATTTTTAATTTTTGTTGCTACACGCGGCAGCAAATTACAAGACTTCTTTGCATAACGAGCGAGAATCTTTTATATAACACGACTAAAGATATGCGCGTAAACAAACGCGAGTCTTCACTTACCGAGAAAGTATCGCCGGTAATAATGAGCTCCCTCGTCGACGCTCTCGATAGGCAGGAGTCGTTTCTGCAGTGGACAAGTATGTTTCCATAGAGTCTCTCCGGGCGGTGGCTCCAGAACGGAGACACCGTAAGACAAAGACGGTCTATGAATTCCGTTGCCCTGAGCGCAACGAGTGAGGCCAACCTCGCGTTCTCCCTCGCCGCCGATCTCATTACGGAAGAAGGGGCACGGTTCTAACAAATCGTTACCTGAAACCGTCAATGAGAATGTCAACAAAATTCTTTCTGTTTGTGCAACTATTTCTTTTTCTTTTCAAGTACCTTTTCCATCACCGGCGTCTTCCTCGGGAGTCTCGTCCGGTGTGGATGCTCTTAGAGCGCTGGCGGCCGACGCTCCAGTGGCTGTGTTTCTTCTCCTGGCCAAGAGAATCCCCCGGAGTTTCGCGGCGTAGCCCAAATTCGCCGTCAACGACTGGCAATCGTAATGGGCAAACGCCCGTCTTCGGTGCCGCTCTTCCACATCGGCCGATACCACCGGACTGGTGCACGTTTCTTCCATCGCTCGTGGCGGTTTACTGCTCCACAGTCTGTTCAACTTTAACCGCAGCTTCGGGCTGGAGCCAGCGCCGGTTGGACCGCAGACCTCATCGACATCGAGCGGTTGACCGGACGCGTCCTGCTGATGGACACGACGCAAGTAGTCACCGGTTACTACGCCACGCTGCTCCGATGGTCGAAAATCCTGCAGCATAGCAAAAAAGTTCTCGCCTGCCGTGATGGACTGCGCGACTACGTCGATGCTTCCTGCAATGGAACGATTACAGATTACAACGCGTTTGCAACTTCAAATAAAAAATCCTAACGTGTAACACGAACAAAATTAAAATCACAATAAAAACTATTATATCATAAATGAAGCAAAATATTTTTTTATTTTAATCAAAATGAAATTAAATAAAAAGATTATCTTTAAAATTATTTTCAGTTGGAGGTAAACAGGTAGATTGTTCGAATCTATTTTCGCTGGTCTTTCGAAAAAGGCACTCGACCGCTTACCATGGGAACCATATTCTCTTCTGAGCGGCGTCTCTGATACCCGGGAGGCAGGATCCGGACTGTGCGGAAGCTCCAAACTGGAATTGGACCTGTGAAGGGCCAACCCACGACCCACGCGGCTCACCGGCCCTCCGCTGCCGCCGCCGTTGAGTGGCAGACTCGCGATCATCTCTTCATTCTGCTAACAGAAAAATTTCAAGAAATAAACATAAGAAACGTAAGATAATATACGACACCACAAACGACAACGACAAGATATCGCGACGTTCTTGTTAGAGAGTCGCTAAATTCGTTCCTCCGTTCGCGTTCATTTGAGAGCTGGAAACTGGATAAGTTGGTCGCGGCTCGCCAGCACGCGGCTCAAGTACAGATAAAGTTAAGTGTCTCTAAACAAGCGCAAACTAGGACGACTAATTAGAATCGTCGAGTCTTGCGCGTCCCTCGCGCTTGACACTCGGCACGTAAATGCGTCTACACACGTGTACGTGCGTGAGACTGCACACGCACATGCGAGGCAGAAGCAGTATCCGAGGGTACTACATATTCGCGCGACGAGTTCATTCATCCTGCGAAGTGGCTCTCGTGCCGCTGGTGACTTTTTTCCTGTCCTTCCCTCTTAATTAAATTGGCCCTTAATTACGATAGCGAGGCCGACGAGAACGGTAAGAGCAAGGAGCGAGAATACTGATGGATTAAAATGTTGGAATTGGCTAGTCTCCCCTGTCATTGGCGGTGCTGCTGGATTCCTAGGTGCGAAAATAAAATTGCTTTTTCCAACCCCCTTCTTTTATTATAACCGAGATAAGATATTCTATGGCAATGTTTTTTTTCCTCCGCGCTTTAATCTCGAATAAATAATTTTAATTAAATCTCAAGATTGAATCTCTTCAATTAAAATTTCCTCTCTTCCTCCCTTTATGTCTTTATATATATATAATTCGATATATACGTGTTCACATAAATTCATTCAGCTTTTTATACATATTTTAAATTGCAACAGATATGAATGAATTCAAATCAACAAAATTGGAGAACGCGAATTTCGCTGCCTTCCAATTGAACTCTCAACAGGGAGATCACGAACGGCATGATCTCCCATCTGGAGCCCCGTTTCTGGCTGGTATTCGGGCTGGCGCCGTCTGGTCATGTCTCTCTCTTTCTCTCTCTCTCTCTCTCTCTTCCGCGGGAGGGAGCGTTAATTAACCCCGGTCCAGATCCTCGAAATGCACGGTGTTCATTGTACATCGTCGCCGGAGATGCGCTCGCATCTACGCGGGTGCGTCATCGGGGCGTCGAGCGCACCTGCTGCATCCGCGATTGGTCGACCCGGTCCGTATTAGCCGCGTACCGTTGATCGGTTCGCCAAACGCGTCCGGTGAATGGACGTTCGCATTGTTAACCCCGAGCCTCACGAGCCGGCCTAGTTGCACACCACGCGCGAACGAGATCGCGTGTCGCGCGGCGACGGAGGCGGAGGCCTCCACCTCCTCCGCCGATGCCGCATTATTCCGACGACACGCACCGGGAGCGTATCCGGGGAACAATGCGTGCAACTCCGAACGTCCGGCGACGCGGCTGAACGCGGGTCGTATTATTTAACCTTGGCAAACGTTTCCAGCGCGCTCGAACGCGGGGGCAGCCAGATGTCCGGATTCTCAGAGCGTAGTTCATTCTCTTTTTCCCAATGCAATTAATTTCAAGGAAACAATAGATTAATTTTATAAGTATCGATTTATTATTATATAGTATACAAAAATAATAGATCATATTATTTATAACATTACTATAATAAATATATCTTTTAATATTTTTAGCATAAAAAGGGTTTTTCTTTAATGCGCATTGCGCGTTCTCCCTTCTAAAAAAAACTGCGAAGCATTCTAGTTTTTCTCCTCGTCGTGGTGCCAGTCGTATGCAAAGATGTCGTCATGCCGTTCGACGTTGCATCCGACGTTGTCTCTCGCGATTCGCGCCAGATACATTCACATATAACACACCAGTTGGCTGTTTGCCGAAACACACTAGTTGCTTGTTTGTCTCGCGTGCCGATCGACGTGCCGAACTTCATCCTCTCGGCCCGAAGTGACGTGACGAGCGACGGCGTATCGCGTCTCGTCGCGTCGTCGTCGCATCGCATCGCGAAAAACAGCAGCTCGGATTCCGGAGATATTCGGGCACCACCGAGAGCAGCCCACGATTATCGGGGAACGTCACCGGCCCCGTTGCATTCCGCGCATAGCGCGCGTCCCTCCGCTACACTCGCTCGCGCTCCTCCTCGCGCCCCGTAGTTTCGTGTGCACCGGATGCGATCACCGCCTAGCCGTCAGGAATGCGCACACGTCTCACAAATATTGCATCTTCAACCGTTACCGCGATGACGGAGATCTAACTGCGAACGCTCCGCGGGATATCGTAAAGGCGACGCCGAACTTTATGTTATGCTTCTCTCCCGTAACTCCCGTAACGTCACTTCGTCATGTGACTAACGATAAACCCTAACGCGCAGTTATATGGTTTTTAGAAATTCGCGTTATGTAAGATTAATCTTCAGAATCCATATAAAATGTAAAGAAGTTCTTTATTATAGAAAAATAAGAAATGATTCAGCATTAGCCAGAAGAAGTAAGTTTTATGGCATTTTAAAGCAAAAGAAGTTTACAAATTTGATTAAATTTATAAAATCTTAGTTTTAATGCAGAGCGATTAAAAAATCAAATCAAAAAGCACTTACATATTTATTTCCATGCAAAAACGACAAAATTATTTATATTAAATATTTTAATATTTTTATTAAATATTCAATTAAATATCTAAATTAAATATCTTCACCTATGTAGCCTAAATTTTTCGGCAAAACAATTTTTTCCGTATTGTATCTCTCATATTTTTCTTCAGATTTATTTTTTTACATTTTCCTTGAAACGCATGCGCAAAAGACTCAGCACTCGTCCATCCACCGTGGAGATACTGATCGCATCTTCCGGAGGAGGGTAATAATGACGCGCGCAGAGTCTATGCAGGCGATCGTAAAATACCAGATGCGTTTGTGGATTCGCTACCTCCTGCCTGGCGAGCACGCGTAGCGTATGCTCGACGATGCGTGGGTGAGAATGCATCCGTGTACGAGGTACGCGCAGAAAGTAGCCGCGACCTGCATAATACGGATCTCAAGGTAGCACGGGTAACACGCCGTGTTCTCCCGCGCCCGCTTTACGCGTGAACTACGTTTAACGCAATTCGCTCCTTTCAGACGCTTTCACAGAGAAGGCGATCTTTTTCTCTCCGATGGAGATACTCGGTGTCCCGGAATTATCGGTCCTACACAACGGAGATCGCGAGCCGAAAGCGAGAAAGTCAACGTGCCTTCGTGTGATATTACCTCCGTACAGACAAAGTCGCGCTCATACATATTGAATTATGTTAAATACGTTAAATAATTTAGTTCCATTTAAATAAATTAAAATTATATTAAATTAAATGTTTTTTCCTCTCGCGTTCCGTTCGTCTGTTGGTCTTTTTTTTTTTTCCAAATTTACTATGAGATTCGTGGTAGCAATTCGATTCAATTCAATTCGGTCGTTTCCTTACTTAGCATTTTTATTTAATTAAGTAAACAGAGACCGATAATGATGTGAAATAAACGGAATAAATGTGCGAAAGAGTACGGAAAAATGAGCACGACGAAATCCTACGGGTAGCCGGCGAGGCGATAATGGAGAAGAAACTTAAGAACCAATCCCACGGTCAAGCCGGGTTGACTCATCGAGCACTCGACTTGCCAAGGACGATTGTGTCCGCAAGCGTCGTACCGCCGGAAGGAAATACTTATGTTCGATGTAAACAGCTACACGGCGATCGTATCGAGCGATAATAAATCCGTATCGCACTGACTCAATCGCTGAACTCATCGTGGGTACGTGTGCGATTCATCGAGTAGAATTATGCATAAAAGACAGGCACGTGACATTCAATTACGTAAATTAACGTCCTGTACCGAGAATAGAACTCGATTCAAAGACACCTCGCAAATTTATCAATATTTTCAGTATTTTTATGTAATAACGCGACCATCAAAACATAAATTGTAATTATATATCCATTTTTTTATTTTAATTTATATTAACTTTCCAGTTTCTATTTCTTTCTTAATTGTATAATTTTACAAATTATTATTGAATTAAAAGTGAAGACAAAATTGGCAAATATATGCGACCATAGATCACAAATGATGAATAATAATACTTATGTAAGAACGCTTTTTACATTTATAGTTACTAACATAGTTAAATCATAATTCAATCTGGTGCAGTGAAATAGGTTTTGAAGATGGCGATGTACCGAAATAAAGAGAGACTTGTAGTTTACAGGTGTATTCCAGGTGTGTTCGCCGTCTCACGGCTCGTTGCGTAACGCACGGTGAGATTAAGGGATCCTGACGACGAATGGACGTTGAGTATCGACATGACGAGCACCGTGTCGCACCGGCGTGCGAACCGCGCGTAATCAGGGCTTATGCGTTTCGTCTCGTCGCGTCTTTGTCCGATAACAGCTGTTCCGTGCCGCTTCCTTCACATGCGATCGACGGCCTTGTGTACGCGCACGAGGTTGATTTATGCGTCGATTCCCGCACTCGGACAACGCGGATCGCGCAACGGGAACGAGATGGGTGATTAACGCGAAACAAAAGCCACGTCACGCGCAAACGCGCGGCGCGGCGCGGCGCGGCGCGGCGCGAATATTATCGGAGATTGTTCATCATCCAACTTATGATAATTAATCGCCCATTATTTGGAAATGATTTGAGGGAAATTATTATTCAAATAACCGTGAAATTTTGCCGTAGCGCGTACGGTAATAATAATTTCCTTTCATTTAGTATTTTCCTTTCCTGAGAATCCTCCGTCTATACCATATAAAATAACAAGATCGTAAAGTAAAGCGGTTTATATATAATGCGCTTCTTATACGTCGCTTTAACCGACACCGCGAGCGCGCCGATTAATGCATCCGCGCGCATTTCATGCACTTCGTCCGCGCGGACGTGATCCTCGTCGGGAAGGCACGCCGACAAAGTCACGGCCGAGCCGACGAGAGGGAGAACGACAGCCGATGTTACACGTTCCACAGCCACTCCGGGAGATAAGAAGACCACCTTCGAACTACCGAGAAGCTCTCTCG